ATGATTTGTTTTCACTTTTGAAGGAAATCTGCCTTTTCTCCCTGCTTCTAGTTTAGGAGTATAAATAAACACATCCAGACTATTCTTCTCACCTAACTGTGGATTTGATGGCAAACAAGGACATTGCCCTACAAATGCTGGAAGAATATATTAAACATATATGAAGACATTAAGGAGTATAAAATGACTTCAATAACTATCAACCAATGTAAGAATATACCAAATAACATTAACAGTCACCACTGGGAAAGGCTCAGTGGATCATTCCTTGCCACTGCTGCTACACAGGTCTCAGCTCAGTTAAATAACAATTCATATAAACGTTGACATTAAAAACAGTCACCTTTGTAAAATGTTACACTCTGTGTAAAGAGCACCTAGAAAATAACATAATGGATATTTATTTAATCTCCTATTATAAACAATATGAAACCATAACATTGTTGGTTCTACTGTGAGTGAATTCATCTTTTTGATCTCTCTAATATTTTTTTCAGTTCATATTAAAAGACTACCTCCAGACTGATACTACAGCATAAAAGGCCTACACTGTGACCCTAGGTATTAAAATGTATATTACTCCCAACAAGTCCTACACAGTGTGTGTCATTTGCTTGGCATTTTTATTACCCCATTACTCCCCTCCGACCTATGGCCGTTTGCAAAAGACCCTTAAAACATTCTTCTGACAAGGAGAAATTGATGTAAAATATTAATTTCAGTTCATCCTCAAGATCAGAAGAAACCCTGCAGCCTCACCAGGTAGACATGTTCTTTATCCTGGAAGGCATACAGAAGCTGTGGGATCCAGGGACTGCTGTTCAGTGAAAGGATCCTCCGCTCCTCTTCATGAAAAACCATCTGGAGACCAATTGAAACAGTATATAATCAGTATATCTACATGAAACAAATGCAACAGCAGTGCTACACAAATTGCTACTGTGTACCGGCCACATAAACTCATCTGTCTTAAACACTTCAACCATCTTAATGCTCATATCAAACATTTTGAAGAATAAGAATTCCTGCCCTCCTTTCCTAGCTTCAGTTCACGTTGCTAGTTTTATACGTGGGGTGTAATTTAAAAAAAAATGCAAAGTAGTCACAGGAGGCATGAACATAACATTTCATGTTCATACAAGTTGTTCATTGTATCGCTCACTTCAGACTCCTGTCGCAGCTCATGTACTATTCTGACTCAGATCTGTTCTATTAGTCACATGCCAGAGTGCACAGCTGTGAAATAATGTACCCAGATTGTGTTTCAACCCTACAGCGCCCTCCAGTGGCCCTTTTCAGGCTGCAATTTTGGAACACCAAAGTAGATTAATACACAGTACAATGATCACAAGGAGGATACTGCAAAAATTAAAAACACAACACTTTTGTAAAACTTTTTGAGATAAAAATGAAGTTGTGCTTTTCTTTTGAATTGATCTTCTTATTTAGGTTTATATTGTCATTTTTCTTCAGTGATGAACCTTTCTTATCCCTAAATCATAACTTTCAGCAGCATCTGAGCTTGGCTTTAGCTTGGTTGAAAGAAATGCTCAGACAGACATTTTGATTCTTAAGAGCAGGAAAAGCACAGGTGTTACTATCAACATTGGCGTAAACAGCATGTACGATGTCAGTGCCCTGAAAATGAAGCAGCTAAATGAAATTCACCCATGTTTACATTTCTTATGTTCACCAGTGTTTTTCCAACTGTGACATATAAAAATGGCATCCATATAAAAAGACAGAAAACAATTTAACATTTATTGTCTATATTTTACTACTACTCTGTTAAAGTATTTCAACTTACATTTTCTTGAGTGCGTAAAACGCTCTTGTTCATGACTTTCAGCGCACAGACATCCCCAGTGGCCTTCTCCCGGACCACTTGGACTTCAGCAAAACGACCACGACCCACCACTGCACGCACATCAAAGTCATCAAGCCAAGGCTGCAGGGTCCGCAGCTCTGAGACCACTTCAGAAACTGATTCACAAGACACACACACACACACACACACACACACACACACACACACACACACACACACACACACACACACACACAGGTTTAACATCCATGGTTTCTGATAAAGTGAAACAAACTTTTAGGATGTAAAATGTGAAAACATACCACAAATACAAGCCCTTATTCTATTATAGATATTCACTTACATGCACATATTACTTCTGGTATCAGTATTAAATAAATTATTTTAAAACCTGAGAGGTGCTGAAAAGAACATACCAATGTTGTTTTTATGGCCTATATTTGCTAATTGTGGAATTTTAGTGAGCTATTTTAGGGTAATGTCACCTTATACTGTAAAAATGTGAACAAGACACAGGATAAATGTATCATGGTCTTTAAAACCTATACAAGTGCAGATTGTATCAGCTAATGTGAACTACTGGACCGAGAAATATCAAGAAACAAAGAAATCCTACGCGTGATGCTTACACTTATTGACAAACTTTGCCACATGGTGTATCTTCATAAGCTCTGGGGAGGCGCACTCCTGGTACAGTAGCAGCAGAGCCTCCAGAAACTCTTCCCGACCTAAAGTGCATCCTCCCTGTAGCCCACACAGGCTGACTCGGCCCTGGAGACAATACATAAACACAGGAAAAGGAAGTCAGCTACTGGCAGTTACTGTGGCAGTTACTTGAGCTGTATTAGAGGAGATGGATGTGTAAAAAGTCAGCGGTAATATAAAATAACTGTACCTGAAACACCTGATTGAGTCTCGAGCTGCGGCTGGTGATGGGGTCTGCAGAGGAGGGCAGCGTTTTCAGGCTACCCTGACTCACGTATTTGAACTTCAACATGGCTTCTTGACAACAGATAACCTGAACGAATGACACACATTAGGTAAAAGTAAAACGAAGCACGCAAGTTACTTAAATGTGACACGTTAACTAACGAATGTCATATCTCCGGTGGTGGTATGAGGTTATAGAGAGACCAACGAAATAAACTGTGTCAACAAATGTCAACAATGAGTCCTGTTAGCATGCTAACGTAACGTTGGCTAGTGTTTGCTAACTCCGCTAACAAACGAGCGTCAACGCAACGATAACTTTCGTCATATTTACAGAGACACAACAGTACGGTGTGAGTTTACTCACCAGACTGCCATGCAGGTACCTATAATTCTGTTTTTGATACAAACAGACACATTGACGGGCTAGAGAGCGCACTGTTTTCCTCTCGGTCAACGTTGTTTCCGGTTAACTTTCAAATTTTGCGCGTTTGCCGCCCACCTCTCGAGCCTGCTGAATGAAGGCGGCCTTTGATTGGATCACTGGGATTCTGTGGGCGGGTCTAACTGTCGTTTTAAACCAATGACTGAAGCCCTGAAAGACTCATGGAAGCGTCTTTACAGAAGGAAGTAGTTTGGACTTGAATGTATGGACTTAATATTAACTGTGACTACACTATTGGTGTTTTTTGTTGGTACACATAAGACACTAATTTTAAAGGGCAACTCCAGTCATTTAGTTTTTTGTTTTTTTTAAAAGAAGAATGATCAAATTCAAGGCAACAGGGGCTAAGATAACTTTATTTCTGGCCCTCAATGAGTCAAGCTCTAAAGAAGTACACTTACATCCTGGGATGCAACCAGTGGCATCTTTCGTATGCTTGGTAAATACCCAGAACTACAGAAGACATTAAAGTAAGGGGCCATAACATTTTTATTTTTTTTTCATATTGTCTTTGAACTAATTCTGGTACAACATACAGTAGCTTTAACAGGAACAGCTGCAGCTCTAATTTCATTGTGTCAAATAAAGAACTGAATCTTCAAACGGTGAAAATGTAAAGCAACTCTGACTGTATAGTGTTTATCAGTGTGTGAGTTGATTCAACTTCATATATCAAGTCCCTTAATGCAACAGCTGGTTTTACACTTTTAAGATAACATTGGACTAATTCAGCCCAAATAATTAAATCAGTTTTGAGATATTTCAAATAAAATATAAAAATTTGCTGAATGGATTCGTGCAAATTGAAGTGTTTATATCTGTTGGTGCTATTTGGCAAATACACCCTCTCAGTGCTTTAACTTAAAACTTAAAATCTAATTTATCCAAAAAATTGCACCCAAGATAATGTGTCTTCAGACCGGACTATAACTATAGTAAATTAACCCATTGCATCTTGCTTTCACACCACATCAGTATAAAACCATTCCACCTTTTGTAATGCACAATGAGATTTTTCAGACTTGTAGAAATCAAAAAAGATATGATTTAAAATAGTGATACAGTCATACAGGCTCGTCTATCTGCAATCTGCCCGAGGCTTCTGGATCACAAACTGAAAACTTCACTATTGTGAAATAAAGTTCAGTGGTGATAAAGGTTAAAGACTATTAATGGATTGGCCTAGTTCAGTGTCCTGATGCTTTACTGGTGGATCTTTTATGACATTCTGCACAATGTATGCCATGATCACTGTCCAAGGTGCTGATCCTGCAGCCCCCATGATGTGGGAGATGTCTGACAATGATCTGCAGGATTCCCACTAAGCTGGGAGGGAATGTTTGCTGTCTAATGAGATTTGTTGTTTCAAATATCTGTGTTATTTTAGGAAGCTTTGCGATAGACTCCTTGCATATTGTGCCGTTTCTCTTTTTTTATCTCCTCTCCGTGCTGATGATGCTGTCAGTCAGTGTGTTATTAGCATTTGTGAAAATATAAATAAGGCTGGGCTGGTTCTTGCTTTTGTATAAAATCAAACATAAGAATCAGCCTCCCTCCCTACCCCAATAATTGTTGTACCGTGCCTAAAATTACATTTGTGTGTAAAATTTGAGTGCCCCTTTAACGTACCATAACTACCACACTCTTTTTAATGATGTTTCCCAATTTAAATGATTGCTATTGCTCTTTATTCGCCTCATAGACAATCATGCAATCATACAATACTCTCAGTAAACAAGTCCTCAGTATTCCTTTAAGCAAAATAAATAACATGCAATAATTATTTGCAGACCAAAATCAGGACCAAAATCTTTATTTCCAACGGATTTACATTATTGTTCAATATTTCCAGTTTTCCAAAATTGCATGGTCAGATATTCTAGACTAACAGGGGGTGCAGTGGAGAGACTGGGGACGGGTCAGCTGCCTTCAGCCTGCCCCAGTTGGTGTAGGAGGTGCTGGAGGTGTAGTGTTAAGCTTGGGGTTGAGTTTGGGGTTTTGGGTGGGGAGTAGGGTTAGGATTGGGGTTTGGGGTAGGGTTGGGGTTAGGGTTGGGATTAGGATTGGGAGGTGTAGGGGCAGGGGCAGGGGTGGGGGCAATATAGCACCCTCTCTTGTGCCACTGCATGTCCCGCACACGTCGGACGGACTGGATCTGAGGTGCAGTGGCTCCCCAATCGTTCCAGTGCTTGAACTCTCCATGCTCGAACACGTACTGGCGCCCTCTGTAGCCTGGATACATGTATCCCACCCACCTTGAGAGGGAAGAGGAAGAGTGTATAACATTTCTGGGGCAGTGAACAGGGTTACATAATAACACCATGCTTATAAAACATACACATTCATTCAATTCTCTTTAAAAACAGTTACATCTACTATAAATAATACTGATCACTGGGAAGGTTGCAGCTTACGTTCCATTGATAACCTTAGCGCTGGCCACACGGTCCGAGAAACCATAAGCCCACAGACTGGGGACGTCATCATCAACAATCTCCATCTTCCTGCCTTCAAAGCCTGCATTCTCAAACAGGTGCAGCTTATGATCTGCACTGTCCTGGGGACAAAAACAACAGGTTTGAGCAAAATTGACAGAAGGTAACATCTGCTAATGTCACACTAACAATACTGACCACTTTGAGAGGCCTGAATGAACTCAGGTTGTAGCTACTCTGGCAGTTGGTCCAGGTGCTCCACCGAGGATATTCTCCTTTCTCTAGCACGAACTGCTCTCCTGCAAAGCCTGGACGCTCAAACCCAACCCATCTGACAATACAGAGAGAATTACACATAAGTGCACACATTAATCCCGAGCAAGGGATAAACAACTCTAGAACAGGATGCAGATGCAGTAAAAGCTGTTGAGAAGTGGATTACTCACGGTCCTGACTCCACGATGACTGAGCCAACTCTCTCTGTCTTCTCAAATGCATCTTTGCATTCTCCAGACAACTCCACCTTCTTTCCACGAAAGTTCTCAAACTCAAAAACCACCAACTGCAAAACAATTGGAAAGCTGCATCAGCAAAAGTCCTAATTTATGGTATCTCTAATTCTTTCTAACACATACATTCATTTGTGCATGTTAGTCGTACTTGTTCAATTGGGTACCTTATATGTGGCTCCAGCCCCTCCTTGGCCCTTCTCTGCAGGCAGCTGGTCTGGGGTTCCCTGCTGTTCTGTCATTTTCCCTCTACAAAGCACAGCAATTACATTGTTCAGTGCTACATTAGATAGATTAGATTTACTCTTAGGTTGTTAAATTCATAGAAGAAACATTATTCAGCTTCACAGGCAGGACAATTGACAAAATGTGCTGCTTGGTTATAGTTTTGTTTTTCACAAATGTATCAGCCAGACATTTGCACACTTGTTTATTTCACTTAAATCCCAGTTGTGTCAGTTTAATATTTAAGAACAACACATTAATTGTGTACAAAATGCTACCTAAGAAGCAAGCATTTGGATGCAGATAGAAGAGTGGACAGGGAGAGAGTGAGAGAGAAAGGCTTGTTGGAGAGAGGGATGATCTTTGTTTCTTTTTACCTGGATGGCTTGTGCTTCACTGCACCTGGTACAAGCCACGCTCTCCGTCTTTCCTCTTTCTTTTCTCTTTTTCTGTCTGTCAGAGTGAGGGTGTGTGTGGGCGTGGAGGCCTGGCGAGCAGTCGGTGGAGGCCAGTGGGGGTATTTATGGTTTATTTCTGGCCACAGCAGCAAAAAGCCTGTTGATGCAGCAAGTCTGTCGCACCCATTGTGTCCATCACACTGCTTCTCAATAGGCTTGCCCCTCTGTCCCTGGCACACTGGCAACCGCTGCCCAGCGCTGCCCATGCTGCCATCCTGACCATGATCCTATAGTGGGCACACAAACTGACTGCCTGCCAAGAGAATGAACAGAGATCAGTCTCACTCAGCAGTATTGGCCCCACCCAGCTATCTTGCTCTTCAGCTTCCTGTCTTCTACCTGTTTCTTTACCTTTCTCTTCATCCAGCGTCCACAAAGCTGCATCCAGCATTGTTGTGAATATTTCCAAGTTGTATCTTTAAAATTACTTTATATGCTCATGTGCGGAGGCAGATCTAGAGGGGTGGCACAATGGCATAAAAAAATTCTGTCCACCCCAGTTTGGTGTCCAATTTAAACAGTAAATAATTTAATGATCTGTTATGGCCATATTTTAGGTGAATGATAGGCTTAAGTTAAATGAAAATAGATGTATTTTAAAAAATGCCTCAAGATTTGGAAATAAAACGATGTGTTGGTTTCTAAATCCACCTTTACATATTTCTATTCAATATTTCACTAATATGCCACAATAATGTAATGTTTTTAGTTCAAATGTCCTCATTTTGGGGCTTTTCCAAGCAAATATTGATATGTATTATTAAATCAGCATATATTTCCACCACAAGTCTCCATCCGACCATCTTGCCACCCCATGAACATTTCTCTTAATCCGCCACTGCTTATATGCATATGCTTTGTCATTTTCCACTGCCTTTTGCAGTGTGAAGTGCAAGTTTCCCATAAAAAACACACACGATTGCATATCATAGAAAAACGTTTAATAAAATTCCCTCAAATTTCCTCTTATCATACAGTATGTTTATCATAAATGATTACAGCATTGATGATGGGTTATTCTTTAACATTAAACAGGCACATAATAGAATCTAAAGCAGATTAATTAATTTTTCTGGGTTAAAGATTTAACAGAACACACTTGATGTGATTCTGTTATAGCATGCCCCAAATTTCCCACCAGCTCACTGTTGATGTTCTGACCTGCTACTGGGCATTTTAATAAAACCACAAAGTGTTGTGGAACCTTACTTGAAAGAGAAGACAGACATTCATGAAGTGACAAAAAGAAAAGTTCCCATGACCATGTTACCATACTGACCATGACCATAGTTAGGTACTTGATGATTCTATTGCTTAGATGTACTACATGGACGGTAAGTTTAAAGTGCTTAAAGGTTTACTTTAGACAATCTGTGATTGGAAAGATAATGTAAAAAGCATTTTGTACAATTTAACCTAAATACACACAAGGTGCAATCCATTATTTATATTCAGTATTTTCTGTACATATGTGTGTTCGTGTGAAGGTAGACACCCTGCTGAAGGCCTAGTGTCATCAGTCCCTGCCAGTATATAAAGGACACATTCAAACAGCAAGACAGTCCATGGCTTTGCTCTAAATTACACAAGGGTATTACACCTCCATTGAGCCTCTGTATAACAGTAGATAAAATATATACTTTGCATTAACACATCACAGTCTTGGCACACAGCCTTGGCACCACATTTAATTTACAAGATACAAAAGTTCTTGATGGCGTATTTTCAGCAAAAGTGTGATCCCTCCTCCTGCATATCTCATTAAAGGTCCAAAATAAGGCACTCAAAGTGCAAAATGGAGCAATCATGGTAAGGTGTGTCACAAGCAGCAGCAGCTGAGATGGATTGATTCTTGCTGAACAGCAACGCACAATGTCTCCTAGGGAGGGAAATAAAGAAAAGTTTCCAAATCACAGACTGCAGGAGGCATCAACTTTATGTAATATATTCAACATTTATCACATGACAGGGTTCCCACCGTTTTTAAGAAAACATTTTCCAGGACCTTTCCAGGTGTTACACAGGACAGCACTTGCTCACAAATGGATTATTGACTTTTTTATTTCTCCTTTATGTGTCCCAGGTTCATTAAAAATAGGAGCTCAGCGTTTATGGGACAATCCATGTTAGCTTGCTTTTGTGCCACTCTTGGCTGTTCTCACCAGAGCAAATTGTTCCGCTGCGGCCTCCAACTTGACTATAGCTTACAACAGTTTTGCTCTAACCATAACATCAATAGCTCGACGGCAAAAAGATTGCTACAACAATATACGCACCCAGGTTTACATAGTCCATCTGAGTGAGGGGATAAAATACCATTACATTTTCCAGGACATAGGACCTAGATTATTTTCAGGATATTTGGTTTCCAGGTCATTCCATGACTGGAAAACTAGTCTAAAAAATTTTTTCCAGGGTGCCTGGGAACCCTGCTTAATTGTTAGATGGGTTTATCTGCAAGCACTCCACCGTGAGTGCATTCATTTTTAGCATAGGTGGAACAAGTGGCACTCAAATTCATAACCCTGTTACATCCACATGTCCTTTTCACTTAACTATATTTGGAGATCAGAGCGAAATGTAGCTGCAAGTAGCAATTCCACAGGCAAGTAGAAGAGCATCAAGCAGAGGAAACGGCATTAAAGTACAATGAGGACGTCTTTACCCACTATGCAGTTTTAATCATGATAAGAGAAAGCTTTGCAGAGACAGGGCCCATTTCCTGTTTTTGTCTTTGCTGTCAGTTTAGTCCCAGCCTGCATTAAGTTACATAAGTCTTCTTGACAGCATTGGCAGAAAGTTTAAACCGTTCACTTTCTATTATTGCGAAGCTATTAAGCTGTCTTGCACTATGACTCACAAGCAAATTAGTCCCTTTTAATGATGCCTTCACTTCTACGGTAATTCAGGGTATAAGCCAAATGTCAAACATGTCAAAACTTTCATGCTCAATGCACCCCTGTGTCTGATCCTGTTAAATCATATAATGGCTTTCATATCACAAGCAATTCACAGGTGTCACTCATGAAGTTGCTAAATAGGAAAGTCATGATAATGTAGTGTTTTCCTGCATGCCACGCTGATGAGATTTACTCCTTAGATATCAAAATTTGGTTACAAATGACAAGGAATTTTCCGATACTGTAAATACTGATATGTAGCAAATAATCTATCTTTAGTATTTTAATTATCACCTCTTCCATGTCACTCACCTGTGTCTGGCTAAGCCTCGCTGTCATACTGACTCAGACGCTTCTTAGACTTCAGTTCTTTCAGCCAAGCCGGAGAAGAGGCGGCACTGAATGACACACAGAATCACAGTTCAGAGGAGTGTCGTAATTTAAAAACGTTCCCAATTTTCAATATTTGTCTCATAATTTCAAGGATTTTTATATTCTTTTGATGCATGCTTTTCTTACCCTCCACTCGTGCCGCCTAAGGGAGGCAGCACTAGTGCAGCCCCAGCAAGATGAGCGACAGAGCGAGGAGAGCGGGACAGTTGCAAGGGAGTTGGTGCTACTTCCTGATTCTGACTTTCCTTCTCTTCTCTTCCCTTGTCTTCTTCGGGTTCCTCTCTTCCTCCAGTGCCTGCTCCACCTGTTCTCCTCTTTATCTGAGCCTTGGGGAGCAAGTTAAGTACACTTTACTTGATACAAATGGCACCCATTTGTATCAAGTTATATATTGTAAGAAAGTTCTTATCAAACTTACAATTAAGGCTGCAGGGCTCAAACCAGGGAATATGGGGACTCTCTGAGAGGTGGGAGGAGGACAGACTATCTTCGGTTTAGGCTGCTCCTCCTCGGAGTCTGACTCCCTTCGCTTAAAAGAGGCCTCCTTTTCATCTAAAAACATAGTGGATGGTCAGAACATGCAGCAAATCAGCATTACCGCAGTGCTTTTTGTCCTGTAACAATGTGTTTTATAACATGAATGCTGTAATAACCTGTGGAGTCACGGGTCCTCCAGTCTGGGCTTTTATTCGGAGCCAAGCCTGCACGGAGGGAGCGTGATGGACGTGTTCGAATTCGCCTCTTTCCAAGATCTGCCTTTGATCTCTGTGCACTGGTGTCCAGGAGAGGAGTGGGGCTCTGTGCACAGACACACACACAGAAATGAATACACTGTATTCACAGGTGTGTGTTATAGACCATCACACTAGAGCAATGCAGATGCATTTTCCCAGGTAGGTATGCAAAGTGACAACCAAACTATATGTTAATGTTTGCAGGGAGGTTACAGACGTCAAGTGTCACCATTCACAAAGGGGGAGGAAAGACAGAATGACCAACCTCAGGGAATGGAGCCAGCTCTGCCACTGTGTGAAAATCAGTGGTATCAATGTCTTCAGTGGAGAATTCAGGAACGTGGTCAGGGACGGGCTTTGGACTGAACAGAAAGAAAGCTATTTAAAATCATGTGTGAACACTCATTGAAATGAGAAGGAAAAAGATATTGTTTAGATGCTTTTAGTTCAGGTTCAGGAGGACTTTTAATCCAATTTCACAAAGCTCCACTCTTCTGAGTTTCTGTGTTGTGGTCTATTAACCACAAGGGGGCACAGGGAGCTCAACTCTTGAAAATACTTGAACGCACTTACCACATTTTAGTCTGCTGCTAAACTTGGATTTATGTTTGAAAAACAGAAATTGCATGTCTCATTAAGTGGAATATTTAAATTTTGTCTTTGCAAAGTCCAAATCACATATGGATTTAGAGTCAAACAAGTAACTAATGATAACCAACTAACATTGGGTTATCACAGGTTACACTACATATTAAACTGCACCTTCAGGCTACTTACTTTAGGACTTCAATGTCAGATAGCTATAGGGCTTCTATTTACAGGTGTACTCAGTTTGAATCAAATCACCTCAATATGAAGCCACAGCTTCAGCACAAAACACAAAGAATGACACTGATCCTGTCTGTCTCCGTCAGGGTAGATGAAGGAAATGAAGCCACGTAAGGAAACAATGGGGACGTCAGACCAGTTCGGTGTGTCAGGTTTTTATTGTGTGATAGTATAACCTCCCTCCTACCTGTCAATTTCAGATGGCTGTTCACAGGCCTCATTCTGCTGGTCTGGCTCGCTGTCTATCAAAGCATCCGTATCTTTGTCTTTACCGTTTGTGCAATAACTGTTGACCTGTGTCTGAGAGACAGAAAGACAGATAGAAAATTAAATTCGGAAATTAACAAGAAAACATATTATACAACAGAACCAGATAAAAAATGAAGGAAGTGTTTGATATAGTGAGACACACTTGCTAAACTCAGCTTCAGTTTCATGTTAAGCATGTGCAGATAACCACCACTCTACCTATCTCTCTGCTGGACTGATCACAGAAAATCAACGTGATGTAATTGCGCTTTTGATCTGTAAATCCGCACATTAGAACTTCACATTGTGGAGCTGCGGCAGGGAGAAAATGGACCGTGTGCTGAGCCAAGATCACTAACTACAGAGGGAGAGACTAAGGACCAGCCAAGCATGCATCTTTTAATGAGCCGGTCACAGAGGCTGGGCTGTCCTCAATAAACACCATGAGCATGTGCATGTACGCACACGCACAGGCTTACACACCTATATGCCTACACACAGACACACCAAACACACTCATGCTGTCACGCCCACATGCTGGAATGAATCGGTGCGCACGCAAACACACACACAAACACACACACACACACACGTTCCAAACAAAAGCAACTACTGTGCACTTCCCTCACAAACATTCCTTTAAGCTCACTTCACATTTTGTCAAGGGTGCATCCCTATGTTTAGATGTGTTATTGTCACCTGGATACAAAACAACGCTGGAGTAAACATCCCTAACCCTCCATATATTTCATACACATCTCATTCATAAGTCCATTTATTACACTGGACTCACAGAGCAGCTTCATTTGCACAATGCCTGTTATCTGGCAACATCATGGCATGAATGAATAGGCTTCTGGTGATTTTCCTACAACCACAGACCACAGTTTAGTTGCAGAGGAAAACAAAGTCTGTTTGTAACAGAGACACAGTCTACAGGTTCCACCCTCATGTATTTATCCTGAGTCTGTCTGACCTTTATTACAGAAGTAGCCACTGCAGCTTACAAAGTTTTTAACATTGTTTACTTACATAATTTTTCAGTACACGTGACTCTACTATAATACCTCCCTTTCATAATATTCCCAAAGCTTTCAAGTGAATACAAAGAGAAACTAAATTCCTTTTCTAAATAGTTCCTCTTGGTAGAGGAGCCTCTACCACGAGCCAAGTGCATCTCAGTCGGATTTTTGGATTTGAAATTAAACAGGCAATACACTTTTCTCAAGTCGAAAAGAGATGGCCAACTTCACAAGCACCCTGGAATGAAAATATTATGCCTTTAGGCAGCAGAAACTGACTTTTGACCACTTGAAGGCAGCAGAAGGCGACACGACATTGACTGATTATCACCTTAAAGAGTTGATATAGTGGAACATTAGCAAACAGTTGCATATATCTACATCTAGCAGATACAGAACATTAGCATTCCTTTAGAGTTGTGTATCTGTTCACCTGACAAATTAAAGTCCATTATTTATTTAGCCTCCATCAACTTATTTTACTTTTTAGCAGCTAAATGCTCCACTAAAACAGTAACACCAAAACAATGACCTAAAAGACTCTAAAATGCTTTGTAAGGCTGAGGGGAACTGTAACAATCCCATGTGGGTTTGTCACTATGAGTGGCTCAGTATTAACTGAACATGTAGGATTACAGTAAAACTATCAACTCAACAACATCTATAAATGCAGACATAAGAAAAATATATGTTAAAAACTACACCTGCAATAAACTGCACTACTCAAAATGTGTATGTGTAGGTGTGCCAGTACAGTATGCTCGGGAGGGCAGAGGATGAGCAAGTCAAAACAGAGTTGGCTTTATTATAGTTTACCTCCATCACATTTTTGTCACAAGCACTGGAATGTGTTAGACAACTTGTTTAAAGTGTGGTGGAGAAGATAACATCGTAAATCTGCTACGAGAACAAATAACCAAGACTCTAATTCAGAATAATCGATGAAGACCGTCAATAAAACATCACCTCTAATAAAGGAAAGTGACGAATCATCAAATTAAAAGTGGAAAGCCTACAGGTTATACTTGCCTTTGTGTCTCCTCTGCAAGTACACCCACATATAGTACAGTAAACTATATGTAAACACTTCAAAACTACAGACAGTCTTGAGCATGCATATACTATAAAAACTGCCTCCTGTATTGCAGCTGGCACTTTAAGCTACATTTGTTTTATCTCCAAAGCAGATGATGATAAGAATAATCAAGGGATTAAAATAAACTAATTCAGATATATGTATCTGCTAACATGCTGTTTTTGGCAGCATATTTCCTGTAGAACAAAAGGCAGACACAGATAGAGAGGGCACAGACAAAACAGCCACACTTGGATAAACCCTGTCTAACTGTCTCACACTTTGTTATAGTCCTCTGCTTTATCTCTGACACACACCACAGACACCGAGGGAAAGGGCACGCATGTCCACCGATAAAACACTACATTTGGACAACTTTATCAGATAACTGTGTCCTTCCTGAAACAGACTGCCACCGCCTGCTGCACTCCCTTTCTACATTTGCATGGTTATCTGTTGACACATGAATGTGGAAATATTAGACCAGGGAATGAGTTACTTGGGATGCATGGCGCTTTGGTGCAAACTGTAGAGCAGCTAACCCCTTGGGTTATAATGTGATAGACCCAGGCCCTAAGAGGTGCTATATTCATTTATCATTGTAACGAACGTCAACTGAAGTGAGCTAGCCAAACCTTTAGAGGCTATTTGTGTCAAATCTGATTGTCATTAATTCTATTCCTTATGAACCTGGCTATGATAAGAACAGAACATTTGAGAGCATCAATTGACATCTGCTGGGTTACTACAGCAGCTCTTACAGAGCAGGTTTCAGTGGCTCTCCTCTGCAGAGTCTGTCGACTCCTGATGGAGAAGCGACGCAGGGATCGCCTACTACGTCTGGCGAAGCTACGGAGCGGTGAAATGGCTCTCTGAAACCTTCCTTCTCCATCTCCACCATCTTCTTCTTCTTCCTCCTCCTCTTCCTCTTTATCCTCCTCTTCCTGCTTCTCTCCTGTGGTGCCCCATACCAGCTCCAGAGCCCCTTGCAAGGAGCGCCGCACGCTGCCCACCCAGCCCGCCACCTGCAGCTGCGCGGCTGACAGTTTCCCTCCAAAGTACTGCATGGTTGAAAAGCTCACACAGCTGGTCGTCCAAGCACCAGGGTCACCATGGGAACTGGGTCACTGGAGAAACTGAGGTTTAGCTTTGTAAGGGTTGAAGGGATTTAGTGGATAAGTCAGAAAGCTGGGTCTGTGACCTGGCTCTGTCAGAAGGTAAAGACGCCGCAAACTGTCTTTTGTAAAAAGGTTTCTGACATCAGACAAAACGAGATGTAGCCCATCTTTCATCTGAGTAGGATCCATCCTCTCTCCATATTTTTATGGTTCAGGTCACACAAACTTCCTGGAACAGTCTATTATTTGCTGTCAGTGAATAAGTAAATGGTCTGACCAACCATGTGTTTGCACTGTGACAACACTACTGCGCTGCAGCCTTCACTATGATGGATGTGACATCCTAAACAGCAGCATCCCGAAGAAAGACTTTCCCATCATCACATTATCATCCATTTTAAAGACACTCACTATATCAAAAATGTCCTTTTTTTGCCTCAACTTCAGAAGTAAACCAAATAGCAAAGCTTTTAGTCCTGCGCACAGCAATTTCAACGATTACCTCTTCCCATGTGCACTCTCTGTCTCTCTTTTGCTGGAATTTGTCCTGCTACAGTCAAGCCTGTTTGCTTGTGTACCTACGTCCCAGTTCACATAACGACTCCATTTTCCATTCGGAAAAAGAAAAAAAAAGGAAAAGCAGCGTGGGAAATATGTGCCACTCCAAACATCCAAAGCCAGGTACAGAGAGGTAGATCACCCCTTTATCTCCTCTAGAACTGAGTGATTTCAGAGTGCGTCAAAACAAAGCGGAGGTCTGTGCTCGGATGTGGAAAATCCCAAAGGAAAGAAGGTGCGGCAGGCTGGGCCAGGGTGCTTTCTGTACCTCCCTCCTCTGCACTCTTCCTGTAGGTAAATGCAGGTAACTGAATGAACCAGGTCTTTGTGAGGAGGTAGAAGGCAGAGGGAAGAGAGGGAAACAGGAAGACTACTTTTGGAAAGTTGAGAGAAAGTTTGAACAACAAGAAGCACTCTAGATGACTGACGAATGGACAGTGGGCATGTGAACTTTCTTGTCTGTGGTTTAGCCCATCCTCTTTTGAGTGTCTTATGTGTGCCAGAAAGAGTGTTTGTGTGTGTGTGTGTGTGTGTGTGTGTGTAGGGGGGTGACGGGCTCTCTCAAAATGGGGTGGAGAGATTGAGTAGAGAGACAGAGACAGAGAAAGAGGGGCACCATGTATGGTCATTCTGACACGCTGCCCTGTTGACCAGATCCAAATGAGGACATGATGACCACATAGCAACCAGGCTCTACTCACTATAAGATCTATCCATCCATCTGTCTGTCTGTCTCTGAGTCAGTAGCCTGAATGAGGGCAGCACGGTTGGCTGCACAGCCTGTGTTTGCCCAGTAAACATTTTCCTCGTTCTGCTCTGTCAAAATAAAAAAGCTTTTCCCCGCCACACAATAGTGCCTTTGCTGGGCAGGTTTTCTTGCAGCATAAATAAGGTATTGAATCAACAATACTGTTTAGTGTTATGATGGCCATATTATACCAGTGTAAGCTGACAAACTTAAGGAAGTTAAGCAATTTTTTAAGAGCAGCAGCGCCTCTCAGTGGTGAAAACAGGGTTGTACTCACATGACATGGCAAAGCTTCAATACCAACAGCCTTACAGCAGCTAAATGGTTTTGCACCCTTGCAGTAGCTCACTGGTTTTTTGGATTGGTTTTGTTTGCTGAAGTGTGCATGCAGCACACAGAAACACAATATCACACATATATACACTCACACAGTTCAGGGCTCCAGGGTTCAGTGTTTTCATTAGCTTTGCAAAAATGTTACATGTTCAAACAGGCGGTGAACCGATGTGTCTTGACTGGCAGGGTCCCGTCAGCTGTTCATTTGCTCATGTACTCTTATTGAATGGTTCGTGTTTGCTTCCTTGTCCGTTGTCTTGGTTAAGTGTGATCAAGTTTCCCCGTCATTAGCCTGATTTTTATTGTTCATTTCTGTTGGAAGATGCTCGTTTAGTTATATAATGTACCTTGCACTTTAAACTGTGTGTAGGCTTTTATTTAGGTGTTCTGACACTGCTGAGGTGGCAAATATTTCCCAGCAGCATTAGATGATTATTACACTTCCAACTGATAAGGACTACTTACTGTATTTCATGCTCTACAGCCATGACGTTTGTTTGTGGGTCTTTCTTGAAATGCACTCAGACATAGTTTGTTAACTGCAGCTGGGCATTTCAGTGTGAATTTTTGTGTTTTGTGTTAGAAGAATCACTCTTCCAATTTATGATGAGTGATTAAATGGATTTTCACTGGCCAAAAATATCAAAAAACATCCTCGTTTACTCCTCTAATGAAGGAAGGATCTTAGGATTGTTAGCCATTCATTAGCAAGTTGTATATAAAAACGGCTCATTTTAAGGTTACAAAATCAGAATGATTGTTATTTTCAGGTGACTGTACGCTAATAAAATCATACCTATGAATATGCCAATAAAGCAACTTAATTCTCTCACACTGCTCCTTGAAAGAAACGGTTTGGCATTCTGGGAAATACCTCTATTCACTTTCAAGCAGTTAGATTAGGAACATTGATACCACCCTCATGTTTGTACACCAAATATAAAAGCTACCGCTATCTACAACCACTCAGGACACAGAAGAATACACAACACTGATGGTTGAAGTGGTTAGCCTAGCTTAGCATGAAGACAGAAGAATAGCTATCTTGGTTTAGTCTGAATGAGATATCGTGTGTTAATTAGCAAACATTAGAGGTGTTGATTTTGTTATCCTTTGTTACCAGAGCCAGGCTAGTTGTTTCCCTGTTTCCAGTCTTTATGCTAAGCTAAGCTAACTGGCTGCTGGCCCCAGCTTAGTATTGATCATACAGACGAGTGTGGTATCAATTTTCTCATTTAACTCTCATCACAACAGTGAATAAACTTATTTCTCAAAATGTCAAACTATACCTCTAAACAACAGAAAAATGATTAAAAGTAAAAGTAAAAGTAGTTTGATGCACCCGCTTGTTATAAAGCAGATGTGAAAGGGACAGATATGGCAAAATCTCTGAAGACCGACATATTGTCTCATGGTACATAATGTCATATTATCTGACCATAAGTTACATAAAACTGTCTTACACTTGACTTAGCCACAGACCTTGAGTCAAGCATTTTTTTTTTCAATGTTGCTTTAAATAGTTCACTAAATGGTGCTAATAACAGCTAGCAAGTCGAATGGTGAGCTACAGTTTTGGGAAAGGCTAGCTTTCTGCATTACAACTAACCACAAATGTATCTAAAACAGATAGGGTGGAACCTCCCAGAGGTGTAAATCACTCAAGTAGCTCTGAAGTTGACAGTAAAACCACAACGCGACACACACTCACCCACAGCTGCTGGAGATAACCCATCCAAGATGCCCATGTAAAATAATCCACCACTCCTTCATATATCCCTGCCATGTCTTTTTTTTTTTTTAACTGCGTTTGAAAATAAATGTTTTCTTAATGTACAAATGAAAACAAAATGAAAGAGACAGTCATGAGACAGATGCAGAGGAAGTCGTAACCATACTTCCTGTTTGACTTCTTACCGCTCGCCTACATAATACACGACCAGACGTTGAGTTCATGCAGTTTGATGTACCATTACAGTTGCCTGGAAGATTCAGAGAACCAGGAATGAATTGACTGATGGTGCTAGACTGCTCTTGCACAAAACCAAATGTATATGCGACATGGAAAAACAAGTAAAAAATACATTTTCACTTTTTCTCATCGGAGACATATCATCTTCAGGAGTGGTAACTTAAGAGCACAAACTGAGAGGCATGCACATTCACAGCTGCGTCTTTTTATCGTCACACCTCCTAAGTCAACACCAATCTTTGTCACTCTCACTCTGTATTTTTTTTTATTCGAAGAAATACGCTCTCGCCGTCAGAAAAGGCAGATAATGCTACTGACACATGGCACATAGATATAGATTTCAGGCCATGTGTGTTTCATTACTCAGTCACACCTGCACACACACACAAACACACACTCTTAAGCTGTGACAGACTCGGGCTGAAGCAAGTATGACAGGATGTTTTTCCTTGTGCTACAGGAATGGTAATGTGTTGCTGCAGGTGAGGCGTGTGTTGCTGCCAGGCTGATATGATTCAGTGGTGAAATAACCACATTTACATGTACACTCCTGTCTCTGTTCTTTACCTCACCCTTTCTGAGTAATTGAACAATTAACCCTTTCATCTAACCGTGCTGGTGTGCGAGCTGTGGATGCAGATCGAGGTGCATTTACCTCTTGCGTGTCTTCTTCTTCTTCATCTCCTTTCGTCTCCTCCTCTTCCTCCCTCTCTAGCTCCCTTTCCTCCCCTTCTTCCCCCACCTCCATGGAGATGAGCTGTGTTTCCTCAGGCCTCTGCTCCTCCTCCTCTTCCTCCATACTTTCCTGGGCTATTGTAGGCTCTGGACTGTCTGGTTTTTCCACCTGTTCTGGCACTTTGTTTTCCAGAGGGCTGACATCCAGTGGCACCAGCAGGTCCACTTCCTGTCTATCCACAGGGTCAGCCTCCCATCTCTGACTTGTTTCTGCTTTAGCCTGTGAGCCCCATCTCTTTGGCTTGACTGAAAAATCATCATAATCCACCTGGATCAGAGGCTGTTTGACGGAAAAGTCATCGTAAACAACATCGCTTGGACTCTCTGTGGGCTCAAATGTTTTTGCTAAGGGGGAATATGGTGATTGTGTCTTCTGAGGCGCATCTTCAGAGTCAAAGCTGATTAAATTTCCCTCCTCCACCGTACTCTGCCCTTCCCTGCTGGTCAACCCATCCCTCTCTCTCTCTTCCTCCATTCTTAGCTTTTCTTCCAGTTCTTGTGCTCTCTTCCTTTCCAATTCCTCTTGCATTTTTCTCTCCAGCTCCTCCGCTCTTTCTTTCTCCATCTGCCTCTTCCTTTCTTCTTCCCTCCTCTCCACCTCTCTCTGTTTCTCCATTTCTATCTGCCTCATTCTTTCCATCTCTTTTTCTTGCTGCTCTTTCAGCCTCCTCTGCCTCTCTCTTTCCTCCGCCTCTTCCCTTAATCTTTCCTTCTCCCTCTCCTCTTGTTTGAGTCTCTCTTCTTTCTGTCTCGCCCTCTCCATGTCCTCCTCTTTCTGTCTCTGCCACTTCAGCTCCAACTCTTTCTCCCTCTCCTCTTGTTTGAGTCTCTCCTCTTTCTGTCTGGCCCTCTCCATGTCCTCCTCTTTCTGCCTCTTCCTTTCCTCTTCCCTCCTCTCCACCTCTCTCTGTTTCTCCATTTCTATCTGCCTCATTCTTTCTATCTCTTTTTCTTGCTGCTCTTTCAGCCTCCTCTGCCTCTCTCTTTCCTCCGCCTCTTCCCTTAATCTTTCCTTCTCCCTCTCCTCTTGTTTGAGTCTCTCTTCTTTCTGTCTCGCCCTCTCCATGTCCTCCTCTTTCTGTCTCTGCCACTTCAGCTCCAACTCTTTCTCCCTCTCCTCTTGTTTGAGTCTCTCCTCTTTCTGTCTCGCCCTCTCCATGTCCTCCTCTTTCTGTCTCTGCCACATCATCTCCAACTCTTTCTCTCTTTCCATCTCTTCTTCTTTTTCTCCCAACCTCCCAGTCTTTTTCACCCACTCTTTTTCCCACTCCTCCTCTCTTTGTTTCTCTTTATTCATTTCCTCCTCTCTCAGTTTCCCTTCCAATCTGTGTTCCTCGTGTTCCTGAACTGATCTCTCCTGCTCCTTTCTCAGATGCTGGTTTTCTCTTTCCTCCCTCAGTCTCTTCTCTTTTCTCTCCTCCTCCTTCAATCTCTCTTTTTCCTTCTCCTCCTGATCCTGTTTAAGTCTCTCCTCTTTCTGTTTGGCCCTCTCTCTTTCCTCTTCTCTCTGTGTCTGCCACACCAACTCCATCTGTTTCTCCCTCTCCATCTCTTCTTCTCTCAGCCTCTTCCTCTCCCTCTCCTCTTCTTTCAACCTTTCTCTCTCCCACTCTTCCTTCCTCTGTCTCTCTGCTGCCTCCACCTTCAGCCTCTCTCTTTCCCTCTCCTGCGCTTCCTTCTTCCTTGCCCTTTCTTTCGCCCTTTCTTCTTCTTCTTTCTGCTCCTCCTCTAACTTAAGTCTCGCCTGTTGGATCTCCTCTGCTCGCCGTTTTCTTTCAAATTCCAAATGTTTCAGTCGTTCTGCTTCTTGCCTTTGCACCTCATCGTCCTTCTTCTGAAGAACCCCTAGTCTTCTGTAGACAGGCACTGAAACAGGGATGTCCTCCTCAGCTTCATCCTCAGGAGCCTTTTCTTCTTCTTCTTTCTCTTCTTCGCTGGAATCAGAATCTGAGCCCAGGATCACCGGAGGTCCACCATCATCACTCTCCACGACACCAAAGCGAACAGAGCGGCGTTTGACATTGTCCCTCTTTAGAGTGTGCTGAGCACCCTCACTCGAGTCTCCCTCAGTGGCAGTGTGGCTTGTAGATGTGATGCGATTGCGGAGCTGGACATCACCCTCTGATGATTTGCTCTCTATATGCTGTCCAGATGTCTCTCTTGAGTTTTCCAATGACTTAACTTCAGTGAGACCATCTTTGGATGTTTCCACGGGGGTCTCTGTTGGTTGTTCAGCAGGTGAGACCTTGGAAGGAAGATCCACCGCCTGACTGGACGATGCCACTGTTGCAGGGGGTTCAACAGGTGGACTTCTGGGTGTTTTCTCTGCTGTTGGAGGAGTCGCTGGCTCAGAGCTACGGAAGAAATAACAGTAGTTCAAGGTGAAAGGTTTCACTGATCCTGATGGCTTTAAAAGATCCATGGCAGTGCTCAGACCATCAGTCATGTCAATACTTCCAAGCCCATTGGATCATAACAGGTCACATTAAAGAAATAGTTTGATCCTAATTTGCTTTCTTGCTGAGAGTTGAGATGAGAATATTGATACCGATAGCCAATAGCCAGTTAGCTTAGTTTAGCATAAAGACTGGAAACAGGGAGAAAAGCTAGCATGTCCCTGTCAAAAGACCTGTCTACTAGCACATGTAAAGATCAGTATTTTATATCTTTTTTGTTTGTTTAATTTAAGCAAAAGTGACATGTTCTGGTTTTACGAAAAGTTTCATGCTGGAACTACTTCTTTGCCTGGCTCCAGGATGCACGAGTTAATTCTGACCTCTATAGACTTTGGACAGAGACAGGCTAGGTTGGCTAAACTAAGCTAATTGCCTGCTGTCTCTAGCTTCATATTTACTACACAGACATGAGAGTGGTGTCGACCTTCTCATCTTACTCTCTGCAAGAAAGTGAATTAGTCTATTATGAAAAATGTTGAACTATTACTTTAAAGGGTTGGTTCACTTTCACTCATCTCTAGTTGTATCTAGAAATTCTGATTGTTTTGATTTTATTTGCTCGGGTCTGAGAAATGAATCTGTAAGTAAGAATTTCCGTTTTTTCTCTGGGAAGTTTTAGTTCAAACTGTTATCACTTAACTATGAGGACACTGTATTACTATTTTCAATGCAGTGACGATCACAGTCAAATTGTGGCCTGGTTTGCACTCTTATCTAAACTTTGTTATTTGAGGACATAAATCTGGCCACAATCTTGATATTGCAAGCAAAGTTATTCATTTACGACCCACTGAAAAACCTTCCTCTCTCCAAGGAAGTGTGAATTGTTTATGCACCAATGTAGCACCAATTGTACCCAAAGAATACATATTATATTGTGCATAAAGATAAACAAGGAGTTCACATTGAAAGTCTTAAGTGTAGACAGGTTGCATGACTCTGATCACAAGAGATAAATCTGAAATGACAAGTATAACCATGGCCAATAACAGCCAACAATAATCTGTGCCATCAACCTTAAAATAAACTTGCTTGATTGCACTTGCAAGAGAATGTGCTTATCCTTTTATTCATGTCTCAACACAAAGCCAAACACAGCACAGATGGAAGGAGGCTCACTCACCTCTTAGAGCGAGTTGGTGACACAGCTTGAGGCTTCTTCTCGACCTTCGGACCCTCAGAGCTTGTGTCCGCGGCCCAGTTTTTGATTCTCTCCTTTACACCTCTTGTACTATTTATGATTTCTGGCTCCTCTTTCTTTGTTATGACCTCTGGCCTCGACGATGAGTCAAACAGAAGACTGATTCTGCGCTTTATACTGCCTCCTCCACTATAATCGTCCTTCGGTGAATCTTCCTCACTCTCTCTGTTTGACGGCTCAGATGTTGTCTGTTTCTGCTCTGGTTCTGAAAACTCCTTTACTGCCTTGTTTGCATCATCTTTGGTGCTGGTTGTAGAGAGGGTAACACTTGGTTGGGGGGGCAGGGATAAGCCAGCTGACTCAAACTTCGAGGTGAGCTCCATAGACAGGCGCTTCCTGGTGCTGCCCCTCCGATACGCTGGGTTGGCTGTAGAGGAAATGTCACCGCCTGATTCTTCAGGCTTTTGAACGACAGACGTCTGAGTTTCATCTTCTTCCTTTTTTCCGTCTTTCTGTACTGAGTTAGTCACAATATCCGCGGGGGCTTTGTGGTTTGTTTCGATGATGTCGTCTTTCTGGATCGGCTTGGACTTGGGTGTCTCTTTGGGTGGAGTGGTTTGTGGGGCTGGATCTGATTTTCCAACACTAGAATCAAGAGTGTCTTCTCCATGTGGACTTTGTTGGCTTTCTTTGTTTGTTTTTGGTTGATCTTTGGTGAGCACACTTACAGAGCTGGGTTTGGAATCAGAGGTGGTGGGTTGCTGAGCAGGGGTGGTCAAAATTGGTTTGGGGATACTTGTGGCCTCAGATTTTCCAGTCTGCTGTGTTGATGTCTTTGAGGTTGCAGTGACCGTCCTTGGGGCATGGATGGAGCGAATGGTGGTGTTCTTCTGCAGAGAGAAGGGCTTGGGAGTGAGCCGAGGTTTGGGGGCCAGAGTTGGCTTGGGTTTTGAGATTCCACCAGTCTGGGAAGACTCAATGGAGCTCTCCATAACTGAGTCACTGAAAGAGAAGAGGAGGTGTTCACATACAGCAAACTACATATTCACATTAAAAAAACACTCTCAGCCGAGATGCAGCCAATGTTGCTATTGTTGTAAATCGCATTACTCCTTCTTCTTATTTTCTTACTAAGCCCCTTTCTTCCTCTGTGTAGTTTTTAAATAAAACAATATGGGCTCTTTTCTACAAAATTGGTCCATTTAAATGGCTCCCACATAGTCAAGATCTGACCTGACAATGTAATTTTTTCATCCTGGGGGATGAGTGTAATGTAAAGTAGCCTCATGTAAAGCGCTCATCTTGAATTCAGGATTTCCAAAACTTGACTTAAAGTCAATCTAAATGAACACAGACAGTTCATGGGTGACTTTGTTGTCACATTGGTGATGTCTGTATATCAACAGTCCCTGTATTGTCCAACTGGTCACAATTTTGAAGGACAAACTATTTCTTTATGCCACGAGCAACATGGACTACATTTCAAGATTGTATCTCCTGAATATATTTGTCATATCTAACTAATAACAGGTCACTACGCTCTGGCTGTTGATCTTTGATAACTTCACTTCAAAGTGCACCCAGCCAGTACACAGTTGTGGACGTGTGATTAGGTAACGCTACTCAGATCCCTTCAGGACAAGCTGATAATGTATTATACATAGAAATCGTGAAGTAAAGTCTTCATAGCCTAACAAATAGTAAAATATTGCTAAATGATAACATTTACGGACAAGAAATGTGATATTACACTGTTATAATATGGGATTTTGACAGTTTTGTCCTTTTTTAAACCCCACCTAATATTAACAATGACTAAAAAAGGAACCAAAACAGGTTGACGGGAGAAATGCTGTCAGAGACTGAAGGAGGCATGATGAGTCACCACACACATCACCAATATGGTCTGCAGGGGAGACACAATCACACCAGATCTCCAACTGAACCGAAACCCCTGAAAGATAAACAAGCTTTTTCTGTAAGCACTGTCACATGAGCATAATAAACTCAACTTTCCCAAACAAAGGGGATTTACACACCGTGCAGAAAAGATAACAGTAATGTTTCCAAATGTGTAACACTAGATACCACAGGCATTGTATATGCAGCACGTCATCTGGTTTTACCTGTAAGAGCTTTGAACAAACCGGTCACTCCACACCCCACGGCCTAATACTGTGCGTTTAAATGTGTCAGCCAAATGCTCACAATATCAATCCCTGCTGCCTCACACAAACTGTTTTGATTCCAGATTACAGTCAGTGTGTGCGTGAACTTTTCTTTTTTTTTGTTGCATGTGATGTGTGTTTTGCAATCTTTTTCTGCTGCAGTGCTCAAACAGCACAACACCTCTGGGTGTGCATGATATTGTGTAATGGGCTCAGAGGGACTCCTAAAGCTGACACTCAATGAGGTTAAATGATTCGTCCTGTTTCTATCTGCCCCCCCCCTCTTTTGTTTTTCTTACAGTTGAATTCCTGAGAAACAAACACTGTCTAGCAGATGAAGCTGCAGCTGATGGATGATGTCTGTTGCTTATTTAGGCCACATTCATGGACTAAAAGGACTCATCCTGCAGCAGCCCTTAGCTTGTGGGATTTTAGTTTCTTTATCTGTGTTTGCTTTGTGCGCCTGTTGCCCTGCTAAGGTTTTTACACTCGGTGCCTTTCGTTTTGATGTCCACCGTACTCTTCTTTTACTTCTCTGAGTGATGCTGTCAGGAGGTAACCACTTAACCCCCCCGGGGTCAGTCTAGTCCTCACAGAGCGAAACACCGCAATGTACTGACGCTCAATAACCGGTGACATTAACGCTATATGGGGACATATGTCTAATTTCGGGTTGTTAATAAGTTACTAATAAACGCGTCAACAATGACCTCCCAGTCGTTGAACCAGCAGTGTGTCCTCCGCTGCTGGACAAAGGAAACGGAGATAAATGAACGATACTTTACGTTTAGTTCACGCTAAGCTGTCAGCGTTTAGTGAGGATGACTTAGAGTATCACAATGAGGATGTAACGTTAGAAAAACAGCAATAAAGACGGTGCACCTGCTCTTCACATCAGCTCTGGGAACTTTTCCGACGCTTAACATGTGTAACGTTACATTTCGTTAGTTTTTTGTTTTTTTTACCTTTTGTCTTCACGCAGTCATACAGGTGGGAGGAAGGAAGGAAGGAAGCGGGAAGAAGTTACAAAAGAAAATTGTTCCTCAGGTTTCCGCGGTCGTCTCGCCTGCTGTGCTGTTGTCAGAGTGTTTTTTTTAAAAGTCATTCACAGTAACGAGACGTCAGACTGCTCCTACACCCAGCAGACACTCCCTCTACCCGCCCGCCTCAGGTCGAGCCACGCTGCTCCGGGGTCAAGTCACAAACACGCAGAGACAGGAATTGGCGTGTGTTTACTTCAAAATAAAAGCGCAAGTGTTGCAAGTGAGTACAGAAAGGTGGAGAGATATGACACAAAAAAAGAGACAGTGGTTTCAGTCCGGGTAGTACAGCAAATTTATTCGGGATATAGCTGGCCTAATTCGTAAACCAAAGAGACTCCAACTAGTTGGTATATTTATGATTAAGCTGCCGTAGTATGTTTCACACATTTCACAGTAAAAGAAGAATTATTACAGTGGAAATAACACATCTACCTTAAATGTTTTGCATGCTGGTTTGTTGAGTCACCTACTTTTTGTAGTATACCACCTTTGTCAAGACACCATAGTGTTAGCTTTCAACTGTAACAAGCATGAAAATGTTCAAGGCTCTGGGACCCGAGGAATAGGACTTAAACTGCAGGTTTACAAGAATGTGAGAAATCTCATCTGAAAACCTAGGCCTGTCTGTAGTGCTTGTTTCTGCTTTTCTAGAGAAAATACAGAAAACTAAACTCATTAAATGGCCTTAAGTGACTTGCCATAATTTGAAATAATTAGGCTCCTTTATTTTGAGAGTTTAGACCGGATATGCTATTTAAATTAATTTGAGCTTACCGAAAGTGCCCTGCTCAATGGACTGGATAAACAGGTTCTGACTGCGGGGAAGAGACACTCATCACACAGTGAAAAGGAATTGGATCTATGCAGCTCTCACTGCTGGATGGAGAGTGCCGGGGCTTCCTGGGGCTTCCTGGGGCATCTTAACAGCAGGAAGTGCCCATCAGCTCTCACACACTCGTTTGCATAACACCTGGGCCTTAACAGCGTTCATTTGCGTTGCCTGCGCATTAAGGCAGGAGGCACCACACACACACACACACACACACACACACACACACACACACACACACACACACACACACAAGTGAAATGATTTTGACAGTCAATAAATCTGAACTTCACTACAAAACTTTAAAAAGTAAAGATATTTTGTTATAAATTAAACTACCCAGCAGTACATGTGGAGCTTAAACTATTGTTCAATTGTCGAAAAAGTCATTTTTCATGCAGAAATATCTAATGTTTTCATAGTTCAGCTTCACAAACGTGGATTTAGTGCTTATTCTTTTCATTATTTTAATATTTTAGATTTTTAATATTTGTTATTGGTTGGACAAAACAAGCATTATGAATGTGTCACTGAGTTCTGGGTAATTGTAACATTTTTATTAGAAAGAAACTTCAAACAATAATTAATATATAATATTATATAATGAAAACAATCAGTTACAGTCCTGTACAAAATAGTACAAAAATAATCATCCAATTACAACAATAAAACCCTGCTTAGACATGAATGCATGAGTAATAATAAACCAATGAAATAACAGTAGTATAACAGGGACCACTGTATGGCCTGCAGCAGTAGGAGCAGTAGTAACAGTAGCATTAGCAGCAGTGGTAGTATCACTAGTTTTGATACATGTGTACATATTACAGTGGTTTCAGGTAGGGTATGAGAGCGGAGGGGCTGTCCATCGCCCCCTGGTGGTCGTTACAACGAACCACTTTACCCCCTCCTCTGGCTCACAGGACGAGTTGTCATGGCAACTGTACAGCATGTGCTTACAAAAACAAGAGCTTGACCGTTCACCGACAGTTCTCTCGACACTCGACATCTACGACGCCATCTTCTTCTTCCAGCGTTCACCGGAGAAGAGGACGGGAGGCGAGCGTTGTAACGGAGGGAAGCCGAAGAGAGTCAACGATGAGCGGAGCCAAAGCCCGCAGCGACGCGCCTGTTGCTGAAAATGTCTCCGGCGGCGGGCACAGCACTGCGGCTCCTCCGCGGGACCGCAAGCCCGGCGGAGGGGTTCTGAAGAGGCTCAAGTCCCGGAGGAGCCAGGTGGACAGCAGGCCCGTCACGGAGGAAGACCTGCAGACACAGAGTGGACACATCACGCCGGAGGATGTGTTGGGACTGCGGGTGGCTACGCGAGGTTTGAGTCTCTCTAATGTCTCTTGCGGACCTCAGGTGCTTGATGTGCTGCTGCCTGTGCTGAATGAAGTATCTGAACATAATGTAACCGAGAGTCCACCACTTGCAGAATACGTTCAATCTACACATTACATTCAAGGTAGAGCAAATGACGTCCAGTTGAGCAGGCGTACACGGCTGTCATTGGAAAATGGAGACTAATATGGTATTATATCTGTTATAATTATCCAAGAAGATACATTTCTGACAACGCAAACCATTGTTAGAGGTCATTAGACAGTGTTTTTGATTTATTTTTAAACAGCTCAAGAGACACCGAGGATTTAATAACAGGAGGCGTGTGTGACATACATGTTCTCTGTGGTCACTTTAGTGTTTAATAATAGTTTGGACACATACAACCACATAGTTTCTCTTTCTTGTTACAAACTGTCTGTTTTTGTTTACCAAGAAGAACAATAAGAAACCCAAAAAACAAGAAGAAAACAGTCTGGCAATAACATTCTTGATAGATATAAATCAACTAACATAACCAGTATCAATAAGGATGAACACAAACAAAAAACAAGACAATAACGACAAACACCAAGCAGTACAAAAATAGGTAATAAAAGGTAATAAAATGTAATAAAAGGTAATAAGCCCGTTAAAGCCAAAGGTAAGACCGAAAGTTCCTAATTACCTAATGACAAGCTATATGAAATAACCCACACCATGTAGTGGATAATCCATAATGTCCTCCAGGATACAGGGTAGTATTCAGTATGATCTAGTGATACGGTATGTATCATGATACAGGGGCTATGATTCAATATATTGTGATACTGTGAGCAAGGGGATATATAGCAATAAAAAAAAAATCTAATTGTAGGAAAACTAAAATGTTAGTATAAAGAACACACCACCATATTTATAAAAGCTGAATGAAAAAGAAGTGTATTTTTCTAATGCAACCGGAACAGATGAATCACTGTGGCTGAGATTGAGCTTCATGTGAAAAACTATCCTAAAAAGCTATATGGTTCTTCATCAGGAGTCAGTGATTCCTTGACCACTATCTGTTCCCCCAACCAATATATGTTTCCTTTTTATGAAGAGCTCCTGAATTCCAGTGATACTGCCAAGTTTAAATGTTTTTATCAAAAAGTACACAATGTCTAATTTGTAAGAATCCTCTGACGTAGGCACGTTATGCTTATTTTTAAGCTCCTCAAAAGATCTGACCCCTCCCTCCTCCACAAGGTCATCAAGAATCTGTTTATCCCCGAGTCGACCCGTCATTCCCAAAAGAGAGATTTCCCATCTGTTCTCTGTGCTGTCACTTCAGTTGTGCTAAGACCCCTCTATGACATCAAACCCCTTTAAGAAATATTCGGAAACAAATGACATCACACAGCACTACTGTGACATCACAGGCAGGATCGACCAGAAAGACCCTCTTTATGGTCTTAATTTAATGACGGTAACATGGTTGGTTCTTATCAGCGCTGCCTACATTTACAGCTGTTACGGCAACATGAAATTTGAAAGGGAAAAAAATGTGGAGATTAAATTTAAAGCTTATAAGAGAGGTTTTTTATTTATTTTTTTTAAAACAGCACACATAGTGCCATATACTCTTATCGGCTTCACACACGCCTATTTTCCTGTTTAACTCCACAGTAGCCCAACAGTGATCATAAATGCTTTGTCTCATCTTATCTTACCTCACTGCATTTTATGGTTAGGGGGGCCAGTGTGTACGTATGTATGCAAAGTTGCATGTGTCTGTGTGCAAGCAGAAAGATTTGCATGTTATCTTTGTGCTTTTCAAAGTAGCCTGTTTGTGCTTCAGTGCGTACACATTCAATGTCCATAACTCGTGTCTGTCATTGTTGCAGGGTACCTCTGTAAACCTGAGGACAATATTTATAACATCGACTTTGTACGCTTTAAGATCAGAGACCTGGAGACCAGCACTGTCCTGTTTGAGATTGCCAAACCCCCACATACAGGTATTGTGCATTTTTCCACTCCTTGTACTGTTGATGCAAATGAGGCTGTTGACTGTAAAGTGTCTGGCTTCTGAGCACTTAAAAATGAATGTACTGAACCTGCTGACAACTTACTCTTGTTATTAGCTCAAAATGAATGTCTCAAAGCATGTTGTCAGGTTCAGAAGCATCTATCGCTGGTTATTTTGATTGAAAATAGTCCTCACTGTGAACTATTTGAAATGTCTCCATCCCTATGCCGTGGGTCTCAGACGACGATGAGGAGAACAGGGAGGCAGACGCCAGTGCGGGACGATTTGTACGCTACCAGTTCACTCCAGCCTTCCTACGACTGAGGACTGTGGGAGCTACGTGAGTGACTCACACATCGACCAACACACACCTCAGTCACACTCACCTGTTTCATACACAGACAATGGAAACAATTGCAGCATTGTCTCTGTCAGCTTTAACTTTGATAACATTATAATAACACAAGAACAGGCCTACTGTTGTAACGTCTCCCATCTCTCTGTATTATCCGATCAGGGTGGAATTCACAGTTGGAAACCGGCCTCTGAACAACTTCCGCATGATCGAGAGGCACTACTTCCGGGATCACCTGCTGAAGAGCTTTGACTTTGACTTTGGCTTCTGTATCCCAAACAGCCGAAACACCTGTGAGCACATCTATGAGTTCCCCCAGCTGTCTGAGAGCCTGGGTGAGTCATCTTCTCCATTATGAGTAAAACCTAAAAATTCCATAAATACAAGTTATATAATTTCATGTTAAGATTATATTATTTATATATATATAAGTATGTTATATGATGCGTTTTAGCTCGGAAGAGATTGTGTCACCTTTTCCAGATGTTGCATATCTAGGAGTGAGACTGAATTTTGTTTAATGTGATCTGTGTACCATGTAAATACCAGAAGAACAGATCATCAGTTCCTACTAATGATGTTTCCTTTAAAGGGGATCTGTTTGTCATGTGTCACGGTGGAGCACTCAACAAAAGTACACATTAGGTCACAGTTCAACAGGCATTTTGGTGGTGAGCTCATCATCATCAGGTGATGGAGGGACATGCAGCCTTACGCTAGCCATTCATAATTTTGCTCGACTTAACGGTATTTCTGCCCCCTATTGTGAATGCATGGCTTTTTATGACCCTCATTTATATTATATAGGACAGTCTGTGTGTATGTAGATGCATTATTGTGTTCTAAATAACTCTTGAACACTAAGTGACCACCGGTTCCCACTATACAGTGAATAATGTGATTAGATTTTGGAGCACCTTGCTGGATAAATGTGCATATTTATGAGTAAAGGCAGTTTTCTTGAAACCACCATAACTTCTCAAAGGATAGGTCCAAAGATAAGAGTATCTTAGTGCAATACCTACCTACCACACAGGCGTTGAGAAAGTTATTGGCCACTACAGTTGTTCCTCAACTCAATACTGGCAGTAAAGAGATCCCTTCCTCGCAAGACAATACTTCCTTTAGCGATCTGAGCTAGCCAAGTCAAGTAGGCATCTTCTTCCCCGTTCATCCATCCAAGTTTATTGCCAGAGTTGTTTACCAGCATCAAACTTATATGAAACCACCAGGAATTATCCCTCTGCTGCAGTTACAGGCAAAAGGAAATCTCATCCTTAAATATCTCACATTGGAGGAGACCCTCTTGATCTGGCTAACCTAGACTGCTGAAGCCTCATATTAGCTTAAACTGGGGGTTTAAAATCTGTATCATTTTTGAAACTGATAATGATTGCATCACGCACAAAAGGAGAATCTTCACCGATTACTCAGATTCTCTTGCCTGAAGGAGCGATGAACCAACTCATCGTGATCTTATGGGGAAGCAGATGTAAACAAAATGTAGAGAGATGTATTGGAACCACTTGCTGGAGTAATGCTTTGCAGTGAGAAAAAACAAAAGCAGAAGGCGAAACGAACAACACAGGTTTTTGTTTTTATTCTCCAGCAAGAACTGGAGGTGAGATTTTAACCCTAATGTCTGTCAACAGTAGCATGCTGGGTAATGTTAGCCTCTAGGGCTAAAAGGTTTACTGCTGCTTGGCAACACCTCGTATTCACTCCCATACAGACGTAATCATCCAGATTGTACCTCCTAAATATCAAACATGTTTGATTAATTATCATGGGCAGCCCTGGTGAGTCTGCGAGCAGGTCTGGAGGTTTAAAACGGGATCTGTAAACTCCTGTAGTCTGAGCCCCTCTTTAGGATGAACTTTAGGAAGTGTTTTTGCACAGATCGAGGACTGTGGGTTTTGTCCTCCCCTTTTTTTTAAAGTGTAGTTGCTTTAGGAAGGGATTGTTTCATGGCCAGTACAGTATGGAGAAGAGGAGCAGCAACCAATATCTCTTTCAATGTGCATAATGTGAGTATCATATTAAGACAGACGTAAATAAATCTGAAACTGTGGAAAAACTATGGTCTCATTGCCATTTGCTAATGCATTATTTTCCTCATTAACTGCATCCCCAGTGCCACTGGTTGTGTTGTGATAATACGGAGGAACATTAGTGCCACTGGTTTGCAGTGGTGGTCCCAATCAACGGTCTTCCCAGAGAGTAATTTCAAGATCTTAATCAATAACACTGACCTAATCATTTAAGCTATTTTTTAGCTTTTATTCAATCATTTCTAATTGCTGGGATACTTAAAAAAGTCTTTGTTTGGATCAATGACGTGCACATGTTGTCTGTTTTGCAGTCCGTCAGATGGTGGAGTGTCCTTATGAGACCCGGTCAGACAGCTTCTATTTCGTCGAGAACAGACTGGTCATGCACAACAAGGCAGACTATGCTTATAATGGAGGACAGTGATATCTGCCTGCTAGCATGCCAACACACACACACACACACACACACACACACACACACACACACACACACACACACACACATAAACATGTGCATGCACACACATCTCCTCACATTTATAGATATACATATACACACATGCATGCATACAGCTGAACATACATACAGTTCATTCTCTCATACATGCACAAGCAGCTACAGACACAGTTGAATCACCTCTTATGTTTGTAAAGATGAATTCATTGTGATCATTTTCGGGGGTGTATTTGATATTGCAGGAGCTCAATATCAGTTTCTGCTCTGATGTAAAAAACAGGAAGCTTCTGTTAGAAAATGGTTTAAAACTGGTTAATTTATCAGTTTTTAATTATGGAAAAATCTGTTTTCAACCAAAAGAGGACTCATCACTCTAGTGGCCATGTGACACATGTCTTAAACAGACTGAATGGTTATTCAATTGACGGTTAGTCTCCTTTTAGCAATTTTAAAAGTGTCCTACCACCCCCTCGATACACACACACACACACACACACACACACACACACACATTCACACACACACACACACACACACACTCAATCCCCAAGTGACAGACAAAGTGTTTACACAGTGTTTGTCAGAAGCAGCTGTTCTCAGAGCTACCGCCTCCACAATCCACTCCAGACAATATCAGGGGAGAAAGAGAGAAACCATCCACAAAAACACTCCTGTCAAACACACATGGTCACTCCTGTGATCCCCTCCACATCTACCACCCCTCCTCTCTTGCTTTTCATAAACACACAGACACATCAGCAATAGTACTGTATAAGATTTTGATCAAAGGTCTCTTTTTTTTGTCTGTTCAACAGTTTTCTCTGGTTGATAGCAACATGGAAAAAGGTCAGGTGAAGGTTAACTGCGGTGCAACCGGAACCTTGAACTGTAACCATTCAAAAGACAATAACCTCAAGGGAAATTTCAAGTCAAAAACTTCTCATGAGTTCAGAGAATGGCAGAAATGATCTGATATCATGATGCATGTGATGATATAAACAAAAAAGGGTTTTCCCTTTTTTGATTTGTAAGACTTTATCTGGTATTCACTGTGGAAAAAAATGAAAATGGTAAAACTGTACTTGGTCCACTGAAAAGGTTTAAAGCCACATAAAATATTTGTCCCCTGTTTAATTACCTGTATTTTTAAATAATGTATTTGTCAGATACGTTTTAACGCATCAAAATCAAATTGGAATATGTCTGGAAACTGAGTGGTCTTTCTTCTAGCTAGATAGTGTACTTCCTCTTTGTACTTTGTAAACTTTGGTGTTCGGGGTTAAAGGTAAAGATATATATATATATAGTTTGTAAAAAGTGATCAATTAAAATAAATGTACATTTTCAGATACAAGACCTGTAAAGTGTGTTTCATTTCTGAGGATGAGAAAAGTTGATGGAAGGAGGAGAAGAAGAACAGTCCCAAAAGTAGCCACTAGGAGGAGTCCTATTATAACTGGGCTATAAATGAGTGCCACTGCTTTCAGTGTAGTTTCATGTTTGATTGTGGAAAAGATCACAGCAGTGTTTTTTATTATTATTCTGGGATTTGTTGACATTCATATCTGGTATTTGCTTAAAACATAAGATGAGGTCATGAGCCCTCTTTTCTATGGCTACGGTTTCACTGCAGAGGGGACATAGCTCTGATAATATCATTTTAATTCCACATCATTACTTTATCTACAGGCCACATGTGACGAGCTAGCACAGCACGCAATACATTTTGAAATTTGTTCAGGATTGTTACACTTTGATCATCCATTTTTGGAGTCTTGTGGGATTTATACCAAAATCTGAGCCTTTCTCTGTTTATTCTTTCTCAGGCTGTTGCTTCCTATCTCTGTGTTCATCTCTTGATCTCTCTCAGCCTTTCTCAGTTTCCAGCTCTCATGCCCAAAATCTCATGGTCTTTTCTCCCTCGCCTCTCCTTTTCTTTTTCTCTCTCCGCACCTATGCAGCTCTCCCTCCCTTGCTCTCCAACTATGTTTTCCCTTTTCTTTCCTCCTCTCTCACCTGGTAACCAGACCTCTGGAGAGGAGTGTTGAGTTTCCACTTTCCCAGAGAAGAGGACAATCTGAGCCACACAAAGACCCACAATAGACCCCCTCTGCTCTCTCCTCCCTTCACTCTGTCACCGCACAGCTGCACACACACACACACACACACACACACACACACACACACACACACACACACACAAAACATATACTGAATTATAAAAGAATACACTCTATGCTTGTTATTCAGTATTTTCTATTTACCTCGTTTGGTTTCTTTTGTTTTTTATTGTAAGATGCTTTCCTTCATCCTTTCTCTAACTACATCCTTTCTAATTAACTCCTGCTTCAGTTCTGTGTCTCTATACATTTTGGTGTTTTCACTGACACATTCAGTTGTAAGCAGTCAAGTAGTATCAGTTGCCACTTCCTCTTTACCATTACACCCTTAAGAAAGCTGGATTCTCTTTGTTACATTGTTGATTTAATTACTTTAAAATCGATTTTCTATCCAAAACATTGCATGGTTACATCGGATTGGTCACTTAGAATACTGCTTATGGTCCAGTGGGGTTTCAAATAATGTTAAAATATTATGGCAATGCCATGCAAACAGAAAGTGGTCACAGGTTTGATATAATTAAAGGTCCAGTGGGTAGGATTTAGAGGCATCTAGTGGTGTAGTTCAGAGAGCAGATCGCTATTCCCTCGTTCCACCCTCGGCTTCCCAGCACATAGAGAACCTACGGTCGCCACAAAACTCCCCTTTTTAGATCCAGTGTTTGGTTTGGTTCTTCTGGGCTAGAAATCAAGCGTCTTAATATGTTAGTAAACAATTGCCTATTTATGCATCCAGGCCAGATACGGAGCAGTCCAACATTTACTCTCTGATTTTAGCCTGCACCAACTCCTCATATTTGGCTAAGCTTCAAAATGCTCCATTTTGTTAACACCAGCTAGTTGCTAACTTTATCTGTGAGCCATTTGGTGCTAGGCAGGTACCGTACAGTGATTTTTTGAGAGCTTTTTGAGTTAAAACAGCTGCCACCTTCGACTGAAAACTACGCTGATGAGACTGAACCAAAATGATCTGCTGTTCTGCAGAGAGGAACTGTGTAAATGATCTGTGTTTTTTACCATGAGCGACCCCTTTCACATATTCATTTACATAAAACAGCCCAAAAATATGTTGTGCCTATCTGTTTGTCCCTTCTGGGCTACTGTAGAAACATGGCGGTTCAACATGGCGAACACCATGGAAGGCGATTGCCCAAAACTAAAATACCCCTTTAAAATGCATAAAACAATGATGTGAAGATCGAATGTGTCAGTTGCTGATTAGAGCACAAAGAAGGGTGCAATTTAACTGTGAGCTCATAAATCAATGACCACAGCCTTCCATCAGGCTGTAGGGCCTGCACACTGCAGCACACAAGTAAAGCAGCTGTACTACTGACCCACGTGTTGGTATCGTACAAATCTCAATATACCCAGTTTGGGTGTTTACAGTTAGTGTATGCACATGCATAGACACATCCGCAGCAATAAATACACACACTTTCCAACTTTCCAGGGATGATTTGTGTGTTCCCAGGCCTTCGTGGAATACATTTCAGCAGTCAGTCGTGCATCAACATGCACGCACCGGAAACAACTGGACAGGTGGGATAAATCAGCCTCATTTACCCCCTCCCCCTACATGCTCACACACACACACACACACACACACACACACACACACACACACACACACACACACACACACACACACACACACACACACACCTATCTTTGTAACTGGCTTTCCCATATAGCCTGTTCAGTGAATCACACCACATTGAGATTAGGAGTGAGAAGCACTGGTTTATTGAGGTTCTCCTGAAACACACACACACACACACAGATCTACACTCAGGCAGGGGGACGGGGGGGACAGTGGTCTCCTATAAATAGCAGCTAGGAATGGCGTTGATAGGTCCTGTGAAAAGAAATGGAGGGGGGAGTGGAAAAAGGATTAAAAGAGATACAGGGACGCACTGCAACTCCACTTGTTTCGTGTGTGTGTGTGCGTGTGAGAGAGAGTTTATAGTTTGTGTGTGTGTCTCTAAGACACTTTGGAGAGAGGTGGTATGGATTTCTTGCTACCAACAAAGCTCTCTCTCTTTTGGACGACCACCCTCCCTTAAAAAACCCACCACCCATCCACTCTCTCTCTTACAGGCACACGCTTCCTCATCCTCTCTTTTTTTTCTTTCTTTCTCTGTCTCACTCTCCCATTCTTTCCTGTTTTCTTTCTTTCTCCCATCCTGCTCCGAGGCCCTGGTGTGAAATCCATCATGTGTTAACACTACATTACCCGCAGCACATCTTCCGACAAAGAGATGATGAGTCATGGCACACAGCCATCTCCTTTAGGTCGGCACGACGATGATCTCAAAGATGGTCGTGACTCCATCTGTATGTGTCATGATGTCATTTCAAGCAATTACTTAGTGACATCACCTCACCTCTGAAAAGAGGTTAGAGCAGACATGAAGCTGCAACCATAGAGGGTGGTGGATGTAAATATAAATAAATATCAATTTAGAAGTAAAACAAGAGCTTGTTCGTCATCACTTTTACTTTTTAAAACACTCATAGTGTCAACCAAGAAAAATGTATGTGTTACTTTTAAATGAACATCTCATTTTGGATTGAATGGGTGCTGTCGTTTAATGTCATGCCATGCACAGCTTTGCAGATGTGACAACAGATAACAGATAATTAGTTATCTGGGACTTAATAATGCACTCAGTACAACAGTGATGGACAGACAGTCATTTAACAAACTGTGATTCCCATACCAATTTCCATGGTGGCAAGTGCAGTATTGACAATCTGTCTTTAAGTGTTAGGTCTCTGCTGATTTGTAACCAGAAGCCTTTGTGCTGCTTTCATGTGTGTGTGTTTTGTCCGCCCAACCGTCTGTGTGGTATTACAGTGTAGACCTCCGCCGCTACTGCTGCTCACAGTCATACAGTCGACAGACAGAAATAGTCCCGTGTCATCAGGGTAAATAGGTGGTGGTCTGTTTGTGCTCGCAGGAAGCCCACAGCCGCCTTTGGAAGCCTTTTCGGAGCCCTCCAGCACCGTCAGTCCAGTTTGTTTTGTGTGTATATGATTAATAAAAGGTTAACTCAACCCTCAGTCAACTGTTGAAGAGGCCTGTAAATCTCCCCCACAATCTCTTCCTTCCTCTGCCTTTCTCTCCTCCCTTTGTCTCTCTCCCTTTGCCACACCTTCCCCTGGGGGATGGAGGGATTGTGATCGGAGAACGGAGGTGGGGCTCCTGGCGCAACCACAGGTGTGCTTGTTTCCTCCCTTCTCTTCTCTCATGTAATGATTTCTTTGGCTCGCCACCTGCCAGGTGGAAAAAACACCCACAGCAAATGGAGCGCTTCAAAATGGACTCCTGGCTTCCGCTTTAAAAGACTTTTTTGCTTGTTCTATAACTCTTTATCCATCAACAAACATTCCATCTGTAATCCTTTTTCATTATCCATTGCCTGCATTTGATTCAATGAGGTCTTCCTGGAACTACTTGTTGCTCGTTTACATTTTGCATCACATGCAAATGATGGTGTTTGGGTCTAAAGACTGCTGCTGCTTAATACGGCCAACAGAACCAAAGCTACTAGCTTTTCAGATGCTCAAAAGTTGCCTTTTCAACCCTTTTCTCTCGACTCCCCTTCTCAGCTCTCTTTTCAAACTGCCTCGAGGGTGGTGGAGAGCAGGTCCCAGGCCCTGGCAGGTCAAAGGTTGCACACAGACAATGGGTTCCCACTCTGGGTCAGCTGTGGTCAAGGAAACAAAAGCAGTGAAGACTTGGATTGGACAAACTATGGCAGTGTTTGAAGGTGGCAGAGTGACAACAAGACAGAGGGAGGGAGACGGGATAGAGCAAAGGCAGAAAAACTGCAATGTGAGCCCACTAAAAACCTCTCTCACACACCGACCCACCCTCACACACGTACAATTGTGTCAATTTTGCTTTCAGGCGTACTTTACTAGATTAAAAAACCTGAATAACTGTTGCTTAAGCCCCTAAAAAAAAAAGTTAGCCAAAGTTGCTCAAAAGCGAGTCCTCTTCACTCTCTTGCAGTTGATTAAATCACTTGCAAAAATTTACCAATTTAAGTATTATAATCAGAAGTGAAGTCACGTGTTTTTGCTCTATTCTACTCGTATCATTTGACATCGCTCTAACTTGTTCCATCCCCTCCCCCACACCGCAGTCTTTCTCCTCTCTTTTTTATTCAGTGCCATTGATCATGCATGCAGAAATTCAGCACGCCCAACCATGGCTCTAGCCAGGATAGGTTAGCTAGTGCAAGGCCTTGTCCTACATACTGTTCTCTCGCTATGGTCCACCAGGCCACAGTCACACCCTCCCCCTGATCTGCCTCCCCTCACTGACTTCCCCCCCACTGCCATACACACACACAAACACCCTCAGAACCAGCACATGCACAGATCATCATGTGGTGCTGGGAATGTTAACTCGTCATTATTATAAAAGTTTTAGTCAGGTGCAGAGGGAAATAGATTTTTTGGTCTCTCACTTTTAGCTTGTTTCACACACACAGTTGGTTAATGTGAAGGAATAAACAGTGTTATAACCAAAGTAATCAGATTGCAGTATCCCAACAATAGAAAACTATAAATCTCAGCTTGTTACATTTCAAAAAAGACCCCAAACCTAAATGATCTCCGTTTTTCATCGTTTTTGACTGGATTGTGTGAATGCTGTGAGATTTTGTTTTTTCAGGCATCAAGACATCAAAAGCAAGTGCATTTCAACTGTGTGGGCATTTGTTTCACTTTTGGCGGAGCAGCTGAGGTATGTGACGAAACTGCTCAGCTGACCAGGCTTGCCCTGGCCGAGAGGGTGGTTGACTTAGAGGTAATGCTGCTAATCTTCCACTTAGCTGGTTAGAACGGCCTGTCACGTAGGGTGAAAGAGAGAGGGAGAGAAAGAGAGTGAGAGATAGTGGGTAAGATCAGGTTTAGATGACGGTTGGACTATGATTGGGCAAGAACTGAATAAAGTATGTAGAGTGGTGATCACAGCTGTTTTGGATGTGATGGATTAGGGATGAGAGCTGACCAGTAGGAGCAGGTGGGCTGAGGGTTGGACCAGACAAGGATGATTTATGGATGGAGAGGGTTGCAATAGGCTTTGAAAGACTTCGTAGATGTGGGATTAATGTTGATAATGATGTTGAAAATGAGTCCAGGATGAGACTAAAAATAAGCTCAGGTTAAAATTAATTAAAGGTACGGTGTGTAACATTTAGGAAGATCTATTTGCAGAGATTGAATATAATAGTGTATAATAGTATATAATAAGATAATAAGATTTGTTGTTTTTATGTTATCTTACAATGAGCCCTTTTTATCTACAGGTGCCGTGGGTCACCTTCCATGGAGGCTGCCATGTTGAACTGCCATGTTTCTACAGTAGCCCAGAACGGGCAAACCAAATATTAGCTCTAGGGGTCGGGCTCATTTTCTGTGCGTTCCGCTGCCAGGGGATCGTGAAGCGAGGGAATTGCAATCTGCAACTACACTGCTAGATGCCACTAAATTGTACACGCTGGTCCTTTAATACCTGTGGTGGATTGCAGTTGGATCTGGCCATAGGTGCACTGAGGGTTGCACAGAACAAAGGTAATGAATACACATGCTATGACATAACATCTGACATCACATCATATATAATTACATTGCACCAAGTACGATCCATATCACATGACATGACATGATGTAAGATCACATAATATGACGTCACCTCCCCCATCACTTCATCATCCTGGGCTAACGGGTAAAAACGATGAAGACTCCTGTTTAAAAGAAATACCTTCCCCTACAGCAGAATGATAATGGGTTCAGTCTGACCTACATCCTGTATAATAATCATACATTAGATCACATATAAAATCACATCTCATTACATCATATAAAATCACATTGCTTCTTATTACATCATATATGAGCACGTCACATGTATTTATTCATCACATATCACTTACACCAACATAACATAACATAACATAACCCCTGTCAGACTACATGACCTCATTGACCTCTATGCAATCTAAGACTAGAAGACTGACTTCATATTCAACTAGCTGTTATGCAATCTAGTGTCTGGCTTAATGGGCTCAGAGCAAGTATCCTGGTTACAGATGCCTCATTTCACCTGAGACCTAACCTGGCGCTACAGGAAGACATCATTTTCCATTGGTATTACTTCAAATCCGATGAGAGAACACCTTATTGCACAGGATGAATACAATAAACAGTGGTGGCCTATGTCTACTAATCCGGTAGCCATGTTTTCTCTTTATTTCTAGATCTAGTTTGTCTGTTTTCAATATAATGTCACAACACTGGATAGAGCATAAAGCTGCTACTGTAGATCTCCAAACATTCAAAACGCTTTAATGGGCCATGCTGTTGTGATCAACCAATGACAAGAACGGCGGGGAAACACTAGAGAGAGAGAGAGAGAGAGAGAGAGAGAGAGAGAGAGAGCTCCACTGGCAGCATGAATAAAGGCAGGCAACGTGCAGCAGGGGAGGGAGGGAGGTCCGAGGCTCGGGTAGGCTACGGGAAAAACGAGGTAGAGGCGGAGCTTCTTCTCCGAGCGTGTATGCATGTATGTATGTGTGTGTGTGTGTGTGTGTCTCCTCGCTCACCCCTCCTCCTTTTCACCACCCCACCCCCACCTCTCCTACCCCTCTCCCCTCCCCTCCCCTCACCCTCCCTCCCTCCCTCTCTCTCCCTCGGCTGCCCGCCCCTGAGTCTGGAGCAGCAGCAGCAGTGGAGCTTCACTGCCTCTCCTCGCCTCACAGTGCGGGAATATACCAGCGGAGAGCAGAATGGATACGGAAGGGAGCCAGAGCAGCCTGTCCTCCAGCACGGACAACTCCCCCCACGACCCCTGGTAACAGCCTCAGCCCGCCCGCCTGCCTTTTGCTCGTCTCTCGGCCCGGTTTGAGTTCACCTTGGACTTTAGTTTGAGTTCAGTGCGGGAGCGGAGCCGCGCCGAGACAAAAGACAAGCACGCTGTGTGTGTATATGTGTGTGTGTGTGTGTCTGTATGTGTGGGATGGATCCACTCAGCGGAGGAGACACAGACGCGCCGCTGCTTTCCGCTTGGTTTCCCCCCCCCCTCCCTCCACCTCTTGTTTGTTTATTTATCCCGGTTTTCCTCCAGAAGGCCACATTTGCAACTTCTCCTCCATCATCTGGAAAATCCTCTCCTTTTTTATTTTTTCCTCCTCTAGGGGATTATAACGGCCCCGACTAGCCGATTGGTGACTTCGCAACATGGCCGATGCTTTTCTTTCTTACTTTATCGATGCTATATTACACACAATTCCTCCCCCAGTTGCCCCTCCGTTGAATGTGTCCGTGTTGTGCTGTGAAAAAGACGCGTGTATTTATGTGTGACTTACGGCTTGTGTTTCTTCTCATTCAGCAAAATGTTCATCGGGGGTCTGAGTTGGCAGACAACACAAGGTGAGCTGTCCCGCACGCTACTTTAATAAGTCTGAATGAAAGCCTCTTGTTTACTCCTTGGTTTCCTCTGTGCCTCAGACCACATCTTCCACCACATTACCCCGCGATGTTTTCCCTGAAGTTAGGGAGAAAATGCTGCGACTAGTTCAAATCAAAGCCTCCTATTCAGCAAGGATCAGCTCTTAGGATTTAGACTTGAGGAGACGCAGGGAGATTAACACGGGAAATGCATGCACATTCACCGACTTTGTCTGCCCCCTTTTTCCTGTGCACCCATTGCACAGAAGGGCATTTATAGTAAACCAAAAAATGAACGATTATTTGAGGGTTAAAGCAGAAGTTCGGCTCGTATCGATGACCACGCTTGTGCGTTGTTTTCCCGATTGCTGCGCTCCGATGAATCCATTCATTTATTTTAAGAGCCATGAGCACAGCCTGATGCGTGAATACAGTTTATTCTTGTTGCGACGGGCCGTGTTATTATCCCGCCGCTGCTGCTGCTGCTGTGTCAAAACAGCAATCGTCACCAAGTGTAGCTGTGTCTGTGGTCCGCAGGGCCTTAATGGGCTATTATGCTGAATGGCCAGATACCCCCGTGTACAATCTCTGGAGGACTGGAGGGACACAAACACAACGTGGTCCGCCCGACCCCCATTGTCTCTCTCCAGCCGCTGCCAGCACGTCACCTCGCCGGGGCCTGTAGGGGAAAGTCACATCTGCTGTTTGGGTGTTATTTAACCATGTTCCCTTGCTGTCTTTTTTTTTTTTTTTTTTTTCCAGAGGGCTTGAAGGAGTACTTCTGTAAATTTGGCGAGGTGAAGGAGTGTATGGTGATGCGGGATCCCGTTACCAAGCGGTCGAGGTAAGAAGGAGGCGTGTGCGCTCCGCCGTCCTATCACTGGATGCCTCATGCTCTTCCATGCTTTTTTCCATGAGACTTGTTTTCAAGGTGCCGTGAGTTTGCATTCCGATTTTTTTTTTTTTTTGGGGAGGTGAATTGATTATTTTTCCTCTTTTTTTCCTTTGCAGGGGGTTTGGGTTTGTAACATACGCAGAACAAGCCGGCGTGGAAAAGGTTTTGGCGCAAAACAGGCACGAGTTGGATTCCAAAACGGTGAGTTGAGCCCTTTGAAGAGCTGGTTGCTGCCACTAAGTTGTCCTAACTTTTTTCGGATTCTGTGTAGCATGTTTTTCTCTCCCCCTCAGTGCATTTTGCCTCCCACCGTATGGCTTGTAAAGTTGAGGAGTGCGCTTTGGAGCAACCCCTCCTCCTCCTCCCCTTCTCTCTCTGCTCATTTCCCTCTCCAAATCCCGGTTCAGGGCGCCAACATGAAAGCGTTCTTTCTTGGTCTTCATTGCCATGGTTACCTGGGGACCTGAATGGGGTAGGAGCCCCTTGCAAAACCCTCAAAGGGTTTATGCAGAGAGCTCGCAAGTTTTTTTTTTTTTCATAGAAAATAACAGCACCCGTTTTCTAGTGGCAGAGGAAGAAAAAAAAAAGTTTGAGGGGAGGAAACAGTTGTGGCAGTGGTTCCCAAACTGGTGTCAGGGGCGTGGGGGAAGTCTGTGAGGTCTGAATGAGTCTTAAAGTCGAATTTAAATATTGATGTAGGTGCCGAGGTGTTGTTTTGAGCAACTACAGTGATGGGGGGGGGTTCTCTGTGATTTCCCCTCCTACACTACTGACACATAAAGATTCAGATGTGGTTAAATGGAACAGATCAGTTAACAAATATAGGACGGAGCCCACACAATATGCTAGTGTTCAGCCACATAATGTCTGTACAGAGGACAGTGACGTGACACAGTGTGTGAATCCGGTTCGTAGTTTGGTGAGAGGGTCAGAGCTGCTGACTCAGATTTAAATATCTATGAAGGTGAGAATGTTGCTGTCTTGGTCATGCAGATTGGTTGTAGGAATGGGTTGACTGGGTGTGTCCTCATCAGCTTGTGGCCTTTACTAACCACACACACACACACACAATAGGATCATTTGAGAGTGAAAATTGGTGGCACGGAGAGGCAGCAGGGCCCAGGGGGCGGAGAAAGGTAGAGTTGGTTAGTTGTGGGAGCAAGCCTGTTGCCGGGGGTGACGCCAGCCACAAGGGACAGCGCTGTACCTGCACAGCCTGATGGGATTTACGTCTCCATAACAACTTCTCAGCTATTTTGCATTAACTTAAGACACTCAGCTCGGTTGGGTAGCAGAGCTCTCTCAGAGACACACACACACACACACGCACACAGATAATGTTGTGTCATGGCAGACCTTTATACTTGGTTTGTGTGTGAAAGATTAAAAGTATCTGTGCGTTATAGGCGCAGTTTTTAAATATTTGAGCTGGGTCTTTCTGCACTGCTGTGATATTTATTACAAAATGAGTGCTGCAACTGGTAATCTGTCAGTTTTTTCACTTTGCTTGGAAGCAAGTTCTGAGCAACTGTAAAGTGTTACTCAGTGAGTCATATTACCTATTAAAACTAGGTACAGCCTGAGAGCAAGACAGTGTGTGTGTGTGTGTGTGTGTGTGTGTGTGTGTGTGTGTGTGTGTGTGTGTGTGTGATGTGATGTGAACATTAGTTTGAGCTTGGCAGGCCACTGGTGGGGTTAGGCGTTGCCCTATTATAAACCAAAATACAGCATAAGGCTAAACAATAATAATGTGTCCCACTCAAATGCAGCTTTGGTTGCTCAGGTTGTTGTGGCAGCAATCTGCGGAGGAAGCACACCGTGGTACCATTTATCCAACCAGGCGTTTGTAAACAGGGGTATGGTTGCCATTTTGTCATCCCATTTTGGAAATAAGGGCCCAGATTTTTTCGTGTGTGTGTGTTTGCAAATCTCCCAGATTTGCAAGGGCTGTATCGTTAAAGACAACAATGACTTAGAGTGTGTTTTTTTGTTGTTGCTTATAGCGTAATTCTACGACACTACAAAGCAGCTCATTCCTACCAGCTCCAACCACTGTATTAGCTAACAAGATGCCCACTTTTCTTTGGTTATAAAAAATTGTGAATAAAGCCGTTCAAGAGTTAATTTTTCACAGCACATTTGAGTCCAGTGTGGCTCAAATTCTGTGGCTTCCGAGTGAATATTTTTAATAAGTTGTGTGTCTCTCAGTGACATTTCCAACACCTGTCCCATTTTAATTATTTTCTACATTTATATATTTCTCTCACACACATGGACTCTTCTCCCCTCTGTTTCTCGCCATAGTTAGAGGAGGATCACTATTGTTTGATCAGAATGAGATGTGAGAAAGACATTCCTCTCTGGAATGAGGAAGAATATTCACTGCTCTGATTTTCTCCCTCCTTTTTATGCTGAGCCTTTGGTTTGTGAGAAAAGACGCTACAAGGCCCCCGAAGCAGGAAGGAGAGAACGAGTAAGGTGAATGAAAGGGATGTTACGGAGCAACAGGGTGCTGTGTAAGGACATACAGGGTGAGAAATAAACTACATTAGCTGGAGCAAGGTCCACGCCACTGGTTACATGTGGTATTAAACATTTACAGTCCTGTTACATCCAGTATTGTTTTATCCACCCGTAGGAAGCAAAAAGCCACGGAGCAAATACTGATTGGGCGTTGCGGTCAGTACCTGTGTGGATGTGAAAATGTAAATGCAACAAATAGGAGGTTGTCTATTGTTTTTAGAGTGAGGTCTGTTGAGGTTGTTGTTTTGGTTGGAGGTTAGATTTCCTGTCGGGTCAGAGTATGGCCTAAGGGCAGCAGTGGTGTGCTGTTGTTGTATTTGCCTGGACAGAGAAGAAGGGCACAACTGGTATTTGTTTTCTCTGAGAGATTCTTTACTGGAACCAGTTACGTGAAGAGGATAAGAGGCCAGATATTCTCCGAAAAGGCTACCACTTCTCAGTCGCTTGGATTAGTGCAGTGTGATTTTAGACTTTGCCGTGTTATTATTTGTGGTGCGGTTGTAAGTCTTTTCAGATGAGACAAAAGGTCATTGTGTGATTTGTCAACACAATTTTGCTTCACTGACTCCGACCAATAAGTGATGGATTATTGTGCATTTATTTTTCTGTTCTTATAATAAATAAACTCATTATTAGTGCAGTAAACATCACTTATGAATGATGAATTCGGTAATTATGTGTATAACTTTGTATTCATTGATTTAAAGGGCCGTGTCCCAAAATAACCCCAAACTAATATTGCTTAAAAGAAAAACATCTTCTTTTACAAGGAAATGGCAAAAATAAGAGGTTTCTTTATTTTATTATTATTTATTTTTTTACACCATTAAAGAGGATTGCCCTTTCTGAAGTGTGTTACAGTAGGTGGTAATTGCACGAGCGCCCGTGTAGGTACAGTAGTCATCAGCATGATGCTAATATAGCTGCTTTCGTCTATGGCCGTGCACTAACAACATATGTTAGCACCAGCCTCTGTGGACCACTGGCACCGCAGTCTGCCGTGGCTACTGGTCTAACACCTGGTTAGTGGAGAGTCTGTATGCTAGCACTAGCTCCTTTCTCCTGACTGGAGATCAGCTGGTAATGCTGACGTGGACAGAACTGGAGAGGGGGATGCAGAAGGTGGAGGAGTGTAGAGGAGAGGACAGAGAGAGAGCGAGAGAGAGAGAGAGAGGCCCAGGTCCCGTGCTGTAATTAGTATAGATCTGAAAAGCAACTAATCGGATTGAAGGAAACAAACTGGATTGGGCTTCCGAGGTCCATGCCTCAGATCCAGGGATAAAGCCTGGACCTGCTCTGAAGGTGGATCCAGGGTTCTCTTTCTATGCTACTTGTGCACAACTCCACCACCGCCACCGCCACCACCACACAAACCCGCCCTGGCGTGGAGCCCTAGTAGGGTTACAGGGGTAGGGGTGGGGGGGGGTCCTCATTAGTGAGCTTCGTTAACTAATTACTGTGCCATTGTTCAGTTGTGCAGATTGACCCTGCTGGCCTGAGCCCAAACCAAGTCTCTTTCTCACTCTGTGTGCATGCATTGACATGCCAACTCCTTTTGTCTCCTCTTCTGTTTGCAGCTTTTTGTTTAGCTTATATTGATTATATTGCCATAACGGGGCAGCCTGTGGTGCTGTTTTATCAGTGTGGGTGTTTGCCATTTCGTTGCAAGAATGTCTTGGCAGGTTGGCCAATGTGTCAGGGCTTGAACGTCTATATGCATGATGGCTTGTTGTCAGTGGTATGGAAGAGGTGGATTAGTGTATGTGTGTATGTGTGTTTTTTTCATGTTTCTCGCCTATTTAGTTACATATATGTGCCCCTTTTGTACATGTGTTGGTGTTTATGTTTGTGCTACATCATGTGGGTGCTCATGAGTGTATGTGTGCCTGTGGGGGTAGCACAGGAGCCCCAGTTCCTCTACGGGCCCATCTGTTTTGTACTCTTTGTCCTGTTAATTAATGAAATCAGAGGGGCTGCCTGCTGGGACGGCCCCACTGCACCGCTACACTGGACAGGCCCACTTTCTCATGGACTGACTCTGTTTTCCAAATGAATGCCTTCTCTTTCTCCCTGTGCTTTCTCATTTTCACACTCTTTTCCTTTCCCCTCTCTCTCTCTCTCTCTCTCTCTCTCTCTCTCTCTCTCTCTCTCTCTCTCTCTCTCTCTCTCTCTCTATCCATATATTGATTTGACATTCTATTTTTTTTTCCAGTATGTAACACTGGTGGACGCGCTGGGCCACGTGAGGTGACTATTGGTCGTAGATTAGTCTAGTCTTAAAAGCTAAACCACCTAAATCATATTGTAGGCTCTGCCGTCACTATGCTACCTAGATTGAGCGGAGGTTGGATGTCATGAAGCAGGATGTTAGTCAGACCATTTCACGAACACTCAGTCATAACTCTTCTTTGTCAGTCTGGGAAGAGCAACTTTTTTTCTTCCTAGAAAGGTTTTTAACATTATTCTTGGTTAGTTACATTTTCACCACTGATTGGGACTGTTACATCGCAGAGCCACTTCTCAATGTCAAGCCTCTGAAGAGCTATTTCTGAGTGTTGCAAACAGTGACCTGGCTAAGTCATTTTATTTTTTGCTTTGTGGCCTATCTGTCTTCCTTGAGGCTAATCCGCCAGTCTGATAGATGCTTTAGTTTTCATTTATTACAGCCTTCCTCTTGAGTACAGCCAGATGTAGAAATTACATGTTAGATATATTCTGTTATTTCGTGGAATGATTTTTTAACAGCATGGCATGACTGTAGCCGTAGTAGCACTACTACAGATATCGCATTAGGCCTAACCTAGTCTAGTTGGTAACCTTTTGTATTTTAGCCTGTTTTTTTAAGAGCTTTTGATCATTTAAATGCTGTGAAATATTGGTGTCCTGACAACATGTGAAATATGGGCGGGACATATGATGATTTCCATATAGATTAGTCAACCAATTTGTTCTCTACTATGTGTACCATGGTATCTGTAATAACTGGATCTAGATTGTTACATCAATGTGACGACGTATCTTGATTTGTCAGGTGTTTCATTTACTGGATAAGCAAATTGAAACAACAACTAGCAGCCAGCTAATTAACAGATTTTCAATTGAGTTTCACCAACACGTATCAGAATATATAGTGATTTTGTGAAATAATCTTTACTGATTGACCACTCCTCACGTACAAATGTCAGTGTTTCCAAGCAGAATCGAAGCAGAGGTGGATCTTTAAGGCAGATTTTCTAAATCACCACACGCTGATAAGTTAGTGAAGAGGCTGATGGATGTTTGGACTCACTCAGCTTATAGAAACAGAATTTCTTGGAGGATATATTTTACTGTATACACTGTACATGACTGCAGCCTTGTGTCAGATGTGAGAGGTTGGTTTCTGACCGCTGTCATTGTCAGCTTATGGTCTGTGTCTCTGCCACATAATCGCCTCAGGGCAGCACCTGCCCTCCAGTCTTGTTAAAACAGTTAAAGGCAGGTGGGCTGACCTGAACATGAGAGGCTGTTACCTTGCAGCACTTTCAGTTTGGAAGAAACGGTACCTGAATTTCCCAACCACTTAAACCAGGTCTGCTTTGTTAGGTTAGGCTGGAAAAATATATATTTAAGAGAAAATTGAGCATCATCATGACTAGGTACATTACTGCCTGTTGTAGTCTTATTTTGGGGTGATTCTGCCATTGTATTATGCTTCAGAGGTCACTGCAGCTTCTACGTTCTTTATCTCTTTTTGCTCGTTGTATTTTTTGCCATAAAATACACGCACAGCCTAAAAAACAACCTTCAGATGCACTGTTACACGTACTGCAAAGAGTAAACAGTGAGACTTGTAGTATATAGAAATGGCTACATCTGCACTTGCCATTTACCGGTTTGTGTCTTTTGTGCTAATCTAAGGATGAATAGCAGGTGGTTAATCCTACAGCATAAAGCCACACATCTGTAATGTAACATTTGGCCCACAAAGCACAGATCCTGTAAGAAATGCTGTGTTGTCATTGTTTGTGTACGCTCTGTTGGTGCACTGCCGTTGCCGATAGTCGCCGGTGGCTTTGCGTGTCCATGTCACCGTTGTCTGTGTGCTCAGACCAGCTGGAGGTGACACGACTCTCCTCGTCTTTGTGTCCCACTTCAAGGTGCAAAGTCCTTCTGCAATCCCTCCCAAGGACGCTGCAGCTGCATCTTAGTTACACAGCGTTGTGCTCTCGAAGCAGCGTTAAATCTGAGGTTCTTAAAGGTCCTCGTGGGGTATTTTTGTCTGTAGATTTGTCATCAGAAGCAGGGCATTATCACAGGAAAGAGATGAAAGGATTGCTTGAATATTGAATGAACACCCTCTCTTGTATTGTGTGTATTATTCACATAATAAGTACTTATTTCTGGCCATTTGACAGGCTCCTTTTAGTTGCCAATATCAATTCAATACCTCTGATAGCGGTTGTGTGAGACACAAGGGGTTTTGCTTCACACATCCAATTATTAGAACAAAGATGGAACTCTAAGACCATAATACACTACAAGGTCCTGTGACCTAAAATCATCTCTCTCATTGGCTTGAGTGAGAATAACATGAGATTCCTCACAAATTTAAAATGCCAGGCCAGGCTTTGCATATTTAGCATTATTAAAGGCCAGCTCATTCAAAACTCATTTGCTTCTAATTTTATCTGTAACCTTGACCACTGCCGAGACATTCCACTTGGGAGAAATATGGATACAGTCAAATCTGGCTAATCCAAAATGGAGGTTGTCTGGATTTGTGAGGTTTAAAAAAATATATATCCATCTGAAATGTATTCAGAATATTAAATGCTCATTTTGGATTCCAGACTGCCCTGCTCCATCTAGTTTTGTGGCTAAGATGCATTTAGTTGTGTCAATTTGTAAATGTACATATTCACGTCTCACTGTGTATTTTGTTCCCTACGCCTGTTTGTTTGGCTGGTGTGTTTGGATTTTTTGGGGCTTGCATAAACAAGGGTCTACTATACATACTTGCAGATTAGCATATGCTCTATTTTTGGACTTGCAGGCCTTCAGATGGGTTCAGACTTAGAGGCTCTGTGTTGTAAGTAATTCTAGTTAGTTAACAGTGTGATAATTCATTGATGCCCCGAGAGTAAAATTCAGTTTACACAAGCACAGGATCAGCTACTGAACAACATATCTGGAGCAGGTAGAGATTTAGTGTCTTTGCTCAAGGAACTTAAGCTGGGTGGGGGGGATGTATGCATTTTAATGGTAGATGCTCTGGGTAAGAAGATGTCTACCACCCAGAAGAGACAAGGAAAACATTTTTAAACCATAAAAATGTGTTTGGGGTCCTAGAAACGCTAAGCCCTTGTTGGAAACCTCAAAAAACAATGTTTCATCAAATTGATACTTTATGACTTTGCCTAATTTTATTAGAAATTTTACTAAAGACAACTCTGAAAAAATATGATTAAAGATGACACGTTACTTCTGTTTGATGACTCAGAGACTCCAGCTGTAAAACATGGTAATGTATAAAGGTTTTTCATCGGCTCTTATATTTGTGATTGGCGTCACATACTAAAGAGTTTTATTCATGCCTAACCATATAACTATATTAAATATGCAATATTTCCTTATTTGGTTTAATAACAAGCCATTTCCATTTTCATACCTTCATAAAAGCCCAGTTTGTGGCAAAGGGAAGGGTTACAACATTAATACTTTCCCACATATTTGGTTTTAATAATCAGAAGAAAAGGGGAAAAATAATGGACAAAACCTTTTGCAATTGTTAATATATTATGATTACAATTACAGCAGTGGGGTCTGTGCGTCTCTAAACAAGGAAGCAATTGTCAACAATCGCTCACGTCAAACAGAATCCTGTAAATATCTGTAATAAAGTTGCCCCGGGCTATGCAATCATCACAGTTCATCAATCATCAAAACTGCAATCAAATCCATAGTAGGATGTCTTGAAATGTGTACATCATTTCCAGAACTGATGTGTTTTCCCTTCTACATTTAGCACTTTAAAACTCATCTCCAACTCATCTCTTCCCTACAGATTGACCCAAAGGTGGCGTTTCCCCGCCGGGCCCAGCCTAAGGTGAGTGCTCCCTGAAGGGGTTAACAGCAGGGAAGCGTAGTGGTGATGTCATCTGTCACCTCTCATCACTCAGCCCTGGTTGGGTGGGATTAGAGTCAGGCAGTGACCAAAGAAGAGCTGCAATCCACTTGTCCATCCTGACACCATGACCCCATACCCTGACCCCACCCAACCCCCGACCGTCAGCAGCCAACATCTTACGCGCGCACACACACACACACACACACACACACACACACACACACACACACACACACACACACACACACACACACACACACACACACACTCTCATTTCTGTCCCGGCACACACATCAGTGAATGCCTATACACAAGTACTCACCTGTACACACACATATCTCAGAGCCCTAAATGTAGCAGACTATAAACCGAAGGGAAATAGGTTGAATGGAGAAGAGCTTTTGAAAACCTCTGAGATTAGATAAACACCAACAAACACAAGTCCCTTTATCACCGGCATCTACCCCCGGCCTAATGTGATTAGTGATAAACGATGCCTTTTTCTTCTTCTGTGTTGCTAGCTGGTGACCAGGACAAAGAAGATCTTTGTCGGAGGACTGTCAGTCAATACCACCATCGAAGATGTGAAGCATTACTTCGACCAGTTTGGAAAGGTAAACTATACACAAATCTGGTATCTATTTGTAGCCATTGCACTGTGATAAGCTCCTGCCTTTCAGATTCTCTAGTGCAGTGGTTCCCAACCTTTTGTGTCACTGGTCACTCTCAAGTCAACAACAACAACAATCCCCTGACATTATGTTACAAATGTGTGAATGGAGTTTAACTGGATAGTATTTATTTAAGAATGACATGAAAGTAGATATAGTAGTGCATGCTACATTATTTTTTGTATCATGTTAATAAGGTTGTTTTGGTGAAGTTTGCATTCGTACTACTACTACCTATTAATCTATTAGCCTACTTTTAGCTTTCTATTTTAACAGTGTACACATTACTGTTTGCTCTTTCAGTCATTTGTCCATTTGCTAACTATTGCTAACAGTGTATTCATTACTTTAACCAACTATTTCAGGAGTATATCCATTACTATTAGCATTTTCAGTCATTTGACTTGACCATTAGCTAACAATTTGAACAATGTATCCCTTACTTTTAGCAATTATATCATTTATTCATTAGCTGACTATTTGAACAGTGTATTCAGTACTTAAGCTAACTATTTCAACCCTTTGCTCTCAGCTATATCGACCATTGACCACTACTTTTTTAGCTGTTAAAATTCTGTATCCACCACTATTAGCTATAACAAAATAATTCACAGTTTTTGTTACTTTTTAGTTATCTATTTCAGCCATTAGGCGCTTTTAGCTAACGTTAACTGTTTCACTGTTCTTCTCTGCCCGTTTGCTAACTAGTTGTCACACGCTATAGCTGTGACTTGTGGTGTTCAGGTGTTAAAGCTGACTCAATATTACTCCTATTTTTTTAATCTAATCAAAATTTCTATTTTGTCAAATTAATTGAGCTTCTCCACCATCTTTCCCCGTGGCAACTGCAGAACTAGTAGTCCCTTGGGTACAAGTACCCCTGGTTGGGAATCACTGCTCTAATGGACTGTGTGCTTTTGATAGATTATATTAATCTGTTGGCCCTCTCCCTTTGACATATATCTTAGCTTTAGCTTGTTTTACTCATCTTTTATAACTTTTTTATACCTTTTACCCTTTTCATTTGAGTCAATGCAAAACAAAAAGTGCAAAAGGGGGCCTAATTTCAGAAAAAGAAATAGTGAGAAAAACAGCAGACGTTTAAGGGGAAAGAGAGGACTGAAAGAGAGAAGCGATAGTCCGCTCTGCCAGCCACAGTATTAGTTAGTTTGTTAGTTTATCTCTTTTGTTAGCTGTTTTGCTCTTTTTCCGATCACATCTTGGTGTCTGTCGCTTCCACATTTGTCCTTCTCAGCTCCTTTGAATGAAATTTGGTGAAAGGCAAACACATGCTGTGGAGACAGATGAGTGGCCGGGGAGAGGGAGGAAGAAAAAAACAAAAAAAAAAAAGCAGCGAGAGGAGGGGAAGAGAAGAGGGAGATGGTGGGGGACTGAAAGGGAAGAAGCAACCCCCCATGGAGAGAGAGGGAGGGGAACTCGGAAGGGTTGAAGGGCAGAGAAAAGGAGGAATGTTGATAGTGAGGAGAAAAAGTGAATGTGAAAGGGAAAAAACACCAATCTGATGGGCCATAAATGTATCAGAGTATCCATCATGCATTAAATGTTGGGTTACTTTTTAGCTAACTACACTTTGGGGGGTTTGGGAGTGTGTTTGAGTAGAGTTCAGGCTCTTCAGTATTAACTAATCAAATGCAACAGCTGCTCCTGTAACCCCCCCCACCTTACCCAAATCAGTACCTCAGACACCCACTCCCATCCCACATACACACACCCTGCTCCAGTCCCTCTCAGCTTGTTGCCGTGGTGACCTGTTTTCACCCATTGTCCCGCTGTAATCCAGTGTTTTTTTTTGTTTCCTTTAAAAAAATGTGTAAGAAGTGAGCATTTGCATGAATGGAAAGAGGTGTGTGTGTGTGTGTGTGTGTGTGTGTGTGTGTGTGTGTGTGTGTGTGTGTGTGTGTGTGTGTGTGTGTGTGTGTGTGTGTGTGTGTGTGTGTGTGTGCGTGCGCATGAAAGTGTGACAGTGGCCTCGCCTTCGATGCAGAGGGAGGCGAGCTTGCATACATTTGTAGGAGACTGGGAGACTCACAGCCAGTGATCCAGTTGTCACAAACATTAAGTATGTGATTCTGCTTTTGGAAAGAGTCTGAAAATGAACATCGCTTCAGGATGTAGGCCTAATGGGTTGGAAGAAATTAACAGCACGAACCTCCTTCTGCCTCGTGTCTGGCTGTGTTTTCTCCCAGTTGGCCTCTGACTCATGTTTGAGGTATTACCATATATCAGGTGCTAGTTTGAATTTAAATAATGTCTTGTAATTCTGGGTCGTCGATCGTGGTCGACCTGGATTACACATGTGGCCATCACGCAGTTTAACTCATTGCAAGGTGCATGTTGTGACATGTGTCATGCTTCCTGACTGTGTTTTATAAAATGGCAGCTCTGTGCCGAATCAGTTCTCCCCAGTGATCACAGACACTCATATCTAAGACAACACTCCCTCCGCAGGATGAGGGAATATTTGGACTGTTTGGACACGTGAGACCAAAGCTGTATCAAGGATAGCGCCAATCCCACAGTGCATTCCTGCAGAGCGGGAGGTATTTCTTGTTTATTATCTGAGCCTGGTTACAAGGTGCAGGTTAGGATGGAGTAGGACTCAGTGTCCTGTTTATTTTCATACTGTGGCAACGCCTCGCAAAGGAAAACACAGAATGCACTATGCATTTTCTGCAACTCTTTGATACATGCCGAGTATATTTCTGAAAGCACACCTACACAAACTTTGTTAGGCTGGGCCGAAATGGCTGCTCGGTTGACATGTCAGGTGTTTTGGACCAAACCAAGGAGGCAAAGGCATATGTTAATGTGTGGTTTCCTAAGTGAACAAATCTGAGCTCCTGTTGCCAAATGTCCCCAGGCAAATAAGACTGCAGCAGCCATGTTTGTGTGAGAAATAAGTCTGAATCCCGAGGTGAACGTCTTGTAATCCCCCTCCACCTGGTGGAGAGTTGAGAACACCTCCCTTCTTTTTTGGCCAAGGCTGAACGCACAGCTTGTGTGAAGCAGAGAAATGTGTTGCAGTTAGGTAATTTGATAATTAGCATTTCAGGCATTTTGGTAATACAGTCAGTTATGTATAATCCCAATGAAAATCCCATTTTTCCCTCTTTTTTATCCTGCCTCTCTCGCACTGCATTCCTGAAGTACCTTACCTGATAAACTACCACTAAAACCCCCTTTTTTAAATTCTCCTCAAATCAAACAAGAGAATGGGCCAGAGCGGTAAGCCAAGGAAGGAGTGGATAAGATGAAAAATGCAGCATGGACAGGGCAGACGGGAAAAGTTGGGACTCCACTCACCCATGTGAGCTGGCGATTAGGAGGCTTGACTGAACACTTTGTCTGCTGGCCTGTTTAGAGAGAGATGGCCGGAGAGAGAGAGAGAGAGAGAGAGAGAGGGATGAAAGAGGGAGATGTGAGGAGACAGAAGGGCAAAAATGTGAATGCCACCTTTCATAATCTCGCAAATAGTGTAATGGACTTGTCAGCAAGCGCTTGTTCTTCGGACAATAGCTGCACGCTTCACCGAAAACTGAATATTTTGAATGCTGCACTCGGAACGCTGTGCAGGATCACAGTCGACTCTTGTTTTGGTACATCTGAGAATATGACCTTAACTTTTCTCCACTCTCTGCATTCATGCTGGCTAGTTAGCGACTGAGCCGCTGCTAAGCCAATCTCAGACCCCCACAGCTATCCAATCAGATTGTCTTACAGCACCCTGGGCAGTGGACATCGGAGATCGTCTTCTTATTGGTTTTGGCAAGGGCAAGGGGCTGGTGTGCGACCACAGCATAAGCTCACACACGTGACAGAATACTTCTGAAGTCAGCACACCATTTTATTCCAATGGAAGACAATTAGATAAAACATATTAGCATGGCTGCATTATCTCTTTCCTGGCTTCACAGCTAAAAAGCTCCTCGCTCTGGTAGTGCTAACCCCCGGTCATCTCTTCCAGAATAGATGTTGCTAATGCTAACAGGAGGGCTAGCTGTGCGTGTAACTCTACTCTTATGATAACATGTTGGCTTGCAGCTGTCTACTTACTGTCCTGTTCCCCGGCTCTCTGCTGTGTCATTGAGTTTGGACGACCGGAAGGGTGGAAGGCATGAGAGGAGAGGAGGTGGGAGCAGGAGGAGGGGTGGGTGGGTAGGGGGGGCAGTGAAAACTGAATGAAGGACAGAGAGAGGAGGGGGTGCTCTGCTTGTGTGTGTGACCAAGCTATATGTTGACAAGGATGAGAGTTGAAAGGGTCAGGGAGGTTGTAGAGGCAACCTTGATCCTCTCGATATTCATCATTTGGCGAGGGAAATCTGGAAATGTCTCACTTTTATAGGCACAGACGTAATCTCAGTCAGACCAGAAGACGGGGATGTGTTTTTCATCTGAGGTAAAGGTCAGAAATCGGATGGCCTAGTCATCCAGAGGCCTCTGCCACTCACGTTACACTGGTTTGGGTTTCAGTGCTTGCTGCCTAATGAAAATAGCCATGTAGTCATACTCCACATGTGTCTCCATGTGATGTGGGGAGTCTGTGTTGCAGATTTTTGTAAACGCAGTAGTTTTTCTGGTTAACGTCAGAAAACAGCATTTTCACAGCGATCCCGGGCCTTGGCTTCCATTTCTCTCTCTCCTCATGCCGTCAGAGCCCGAGCAGAAGCTGCTAACTTTCCTGCCAGTGAAGGACAAGTGAGGGAGGGAGGGGGGGAGGATAGAGGGTGAAAAGGGGGAGGAGGAGGAGGAGGAGGAGGAATATGAATAGGGCAGTGGAGTGAGTGCAGAAAGGAAAGTGGAGGGAGAATGGGGAATAAAAGGAGAGCGTGTTGACAAAGACCCTAGTTCACTTTGTTCTATACTCTCTTGTCCAAAATGTCCGTTAACAGATTTTCTATCCTCCATCAGAAACTTTATGTTTTTCTTTCACCCCCATTATTCATTACTGTTTCTCCTTTTTTTGTCACATGCTTACTCTCTCCCTCTCTTTTGCTCCTGTCTCTCCATTCTATTCATTGAAATTAGTTGGGGGGGGGCGGGGGGGGGCAAGTTCTTCTAATTGAAATTCTTTACAGGGTCTCCATGGGAATAGTAAACTTTGTGGAGAGGGAAAGAAAGACAGCAAGGGTGAACGAATGAAAGGGAAAAAGAGGGAGAGAGAGAGCAGTTTGTGAGAACTCGGGCGAAAGACAGAGACAGAGCAAAGAATGGGAAAGAATTTCCTCCAGCGCTCAGTGAACGGGGAGCGCTCACTTCTTTTTCACCTTGATAGATTGTATTTCATTTTATTTTTATACAGCGTCCCCACTCACTCCCTCCCTCATCGCTCTCTTCCTTTCTCTCCCTTTCATTCTTTCTTTTTCTTTTCTCCTTTGTCACCTGTCACCCCTCCCTCCCTCTCTTCCCTCCACCCTCTCCATCTGTTTTCCCCTCTTACTCCAGTGCTAAAGAGGGACAATGGCACCCCATGCTGTGTAATGATGTGTGTGTGTGTGTGTGTGTCTGTGTGTGTGTGTGTGTTAATATGTCGAAGCTCATCTATTCTTTGCTTTGTTCTCACAGGTCGACGATGCCATGCTTATGTTTGACAAAACAACCAACAGACACAGAGGTACGTACGCAGAGTTATGATACTCACACACATTATGTTAATGTGTCAACATACTAAGTGAGGACACCTACGAACACGCCCTCGTAAATGAAAAGGGGAGACAGCGTGATAGGGTCACTGGGTGAACATGCACCAAAAAAAAAAGCTGAATTTTTTCTCCAATCATGTTCTTTTGTCTTTCCACTGCTCTCTCACCTCCCCTTGTTTCATTTACCTCTGTCCTCCCTCGGTGAGGCAGAAGTGCAGCACCCGCTGAGGGTCAGGATGGTGAGGGTGTCACTTGATGAGACAAGTGAGGAAAGATGGAAAAGAAAAGAGAAGGGCGGAGTTAGAGAAATTGGGTGTGATAATTGTAAGAAGTAAGTCTGGGCGTAGGTTTTGGTGAACCACGCCCCGCCCCTGCTCCTCCATGATGGCAGCAGCTGATTGACAGGCTATGGGAGGTTGTGTGTCCCTCGTATTACATCCGCTCAGAGGTTGCCTGTTTTTAAACGTTTCTGGGATAATGAATCTGGTAAAATGCTTGTGAAAATACAGTCTTTGCAGAGAGCTTTTCAAAAGGAAGATTCTGTGTTTTTGCAAGACTTATTTCCACCAGTATAATTGCTGAGCTCTGGGGTTGTGGGGTCTCCTGCTACACGTGTCTTTGTGGCAGACAGGATGTTGGATTAAGAGTTTGTTTGTGTGTCTTCCAGGCTTTGGCTTTGTTACCTTTGAGAATGAAGACGTCGTGGAAAAAGTGTGTGAGATCCACTTCCATGAGATCAACAACAAAATGGTACGCAGTAACATATAGTCATCTAATGAATAAATCCCCAATACAGGTTCAGCTTCTGTCATAAAGTCATTTTTTTGTCTAAAACATTATCTTCTCTCATTTGAGGATTTGCTTGAGCTGCATTTAGTTTTCTGTGTAGTTGTGTATCTCTGTATCTGTACTGCACTTACTAATGTTACTGGTTTTCTGTGCCTCAGGTCGAGTGTAAGAAAGCCCAGCCCAAGGAAGTGATGACACCGACAGGCTCAGCCAGAGGCCGCTCCAGAGTGATGCCCTATGGGATGGATGCCTTCATGCTGGGCATCGGCATGCTGGGTAAGATCCAAAATTAAATATACCCGAAGCAAACACACCATACCAAAATCTTATATAAACAGAGTGTATGTACATGTCTACATAGCAAATCTACCAATCACTGGGAAATCTCCTTTAAGGTTTTCCTTATAAGCAAATATGTGTTTACCGTACATAATGTCACTGTTAGGGATCTATTTAGCCGTATAAATTACAGACTATTTTCACATAAATGACTTAAGACTTTGAGATATTGCTAGAAAAGATCTTGTTTTTAAAGCTGTGTTTACATTACATTCTACATGTAATAACACATTTTCTATAGACGGCAGCTTGCTCAACACCAGTTCCACCTGTAAATGTCATACACAGTCTAGAACCAGTGTAGTGCTCTTTGTCTTTACGCTGCAATATAAAACTAAACCCACACCATGTTAAAAATGTCTTATTAGGAAGAAAATCCTAAACTAAAACTGGCATTTTAATTTGGTTGATATTATTCTCTGAGCTGATTCTCACATGCACATCTCCGGTGAATAAAACTATGATGAATCAGAAATTTAGAGGTCACACACTGAAGGGCGATGAGTTCTACACACTAGAGTAAAATCTTCTGAAATCGTCCTCATTGAGAAAACAAACTGAGAGCTATGTATCATTTGTGGTTGTTTGGCTCCCTCTACTGGACATGTGGCTTTGTACCTTACTGTAGTCCCCATAGTCTCTGTAATGGCTGTAGATGGGGAGCTCTCATTAGGTCTGGTTTGTTCGTACTCTTTAGTGAACCTGACCTTAAAGGAAATTCTATTCCGATAGTGTAGCAGCTTAAATCGTCACATGTCCACAGTAATGATCCTGAGCTTCACTGCAAACTGAAAATATTCAGCAGCTGATTAAAATGAACCCAGAAACTGAAAAAGAGAACCTACACTCCTAAATGTCAAGTAGTCCTTACTTAATAATGGCTAGTTTTTCCTAGAAGTTGGTCAAATGTATATAAAATATAATGATGGTTATGTGATAGAAGAAGCATAGCTGCAGGGTAGTTCCAAAAATAAAGCCAGCTAGATCTGCTGTACTGACTCAATGATGTTTCATTTTCAAAATGAGTGGCCATGAAGGTTTACGATGAACATCCTATGACTAGTACGCAACATTCTTTTTTAGATTAAACTGGATGTATGGTAATTATTTTCTATTTCTTACAGGCTACCCAGGTTTCCAGACTACTACCTACACCAGCCGCAGTTACTCTGGAATTGCTCCTGGTTACACTTATCAGTTCCCAGGTAGGTCCACATACATCCAACATCTAGTTCACTCTCTTGAGGTCACGGAGGGAGGAAAGGTTAAAGGATGTGGTTGATTCAGCTGTGTACAACTACAAGAGCCATATAGATGAGTTTCTTTCTCTGACTCACTCACACACAAACACTAAATGCCAACTTCATTTCAGCAGAGTCGCTGGCTGCTTGTAGATTTAACAATGTGATTTTTAAATTCCTGTTTTTGCAAACCCTCCCCCGTTCTCTAAGATATCTCTCTATGTCTTGTCTATTATTTGCCTGTTTCCCTTTATATTCTCCTGTGTTTATTTGATCTACTTATGTAACCCCCTTTCATTTGGCCGTATGGCCCCTCCTTTTCCTTTGCTCCCACCTTCCTGCCTGTCCTCACAGTAGATTTTTAACTTTCTGTACTTCTGTACGCCCATGATAGCGTTCTGCTGTGGCAAAATGTCTCTGTGCATGTTGCTTTGTAGTCTGGCCAGTGGATGGTGACTGTACTTACTAAGCGCTCTCTCTTGACCTTCTCTGTTTCTAGAATTCCACTTAGAGAGGACCCCCCTCCTGACATCATCCCACCCCCCTGAGCTGGCAGGTCAGTGGCTCCTCACTCACCTCACCTCGAGAGAAAAAAAAAAAAGCTATTCAGCAGCAGAGAGTCAAATGAAACTGCTGGCAAGGAAGCAAATAAGCGTATTTTCCCAAATGTCAAACTATTCCTTTAAGCTTCATGTAAACTGACTATTCCCTTGATGAGAATAGTCAGGTAGTTTAATAAAGCAATGAACCGTTTTAACTCTGCTGGTAAAATAGGCAAAAAATTACAACAAGCTTTGTAGCTTCCTGCAATTATTCCAGTCAAATGTTTTTTCAGCTGTTGTGAAAACACATCTTCAGAGGAGTGTGTGATCCTGTGACTTTACAAATAATCTTTTAAACCTACAATAAGCTTTCTGTCTGTGAACCCGGTGGCCGTATTAACAAAGTACATTATTTTACCGCTGGGTGTCCTCCTAAATGGCACTAGAAGAATCTAGCAAAGTTTCATTTTAGGAGCTATGAATGCGCCCCCTGCATCTACAAGCAGCTCTGCCTTTGCGCTGCCATCTAGTGGCTCTGAGTTGTACTTGCATCTTTACTTGAAATGGTCATCCTTATTGTTTTTATCAAACATTATTTTGGTCCTTAATTTAGATTTTATTAGATGTTATGTCATTGGGGCAGTTGGATTTTGGATTTTACTCCTTCCACCAGCTGACCCTTACAGTAGCTGTAGGAGCTGTTACTCATGATCTGGTCTGACAGCGATTCACAGTGACTGTCATCTGTGCAATAATTTGGTCTGTTTGCAACCCTCAGCCATTCCCCTGACTGCGTACGGACCAATGGCAGCAGCCGCAGCAGCAGTAGTTAGAGGTACGTGTGTGTGTGTGTGTGTGTGTGTGTGTGTGTGTGTGTGTGTGTGTGTGTGTGTGTGTGTGTGTGTGACGTGTGTGTGACAGGCTGAGACAAAGTATGTTTGCCTTAGGTAGAATGTGTGTACAATGTCTTACTTGGACAAATAAAAGAATATTCTTAGATGTGTGCGTGTGCGAGAAGCTCTCTAGTGTTGCCGCCTGACTTATCTCCTCTGTCTCTCAGGCTCCACCCCTTCACGCACAGCTGGCTTCCTGGGAACCAGCAGCCCTGGACCAATGGCTGAACTGTATGCTGCAGCCAATCAGGACTCAGGAGTCAGCAGCTACATCAGCGCCGCTAGCCCCGCCCCCAGCACAGGGTTCGGCCACGGTCTAGGGGTAGGTCACACACTCTTTCTGATCCACACACACACACACTTGTATGTACGCATGGATGCACGTATTACTCACAAAGCTAATAGAAAGCCTATCCGCTCTTGTCTGTGTGTCCTCAGGGTCCGCTGATTGCTACTGCGTTCACTAATGGCTACCACTGAGAAGACTCAGGTCACTGAAGATGGGAGGGCTTCTCCTCTGCTGATGAGCCAATCAAAATGCTGGCTGCCCACTGATGGTACAACCTGATTGGCCGGCCACAGGCTCTACCGGGATCTCCTGGCTCCCTGTGGCTCCACCCACCGACTGAATATCTTTTTAAAATCCTGAACTCTTTTGCTGTACTAATCTCACTTCAACATAACATCCCCGTCTCTCTCCTCTTTTGTCCTCATGTAGTCTAATAACTAGGTCTCCCCCTCCGTTATCCATTAGTTTCTTTTGAAGGTGAGAAAAGAAAACTGCAAAAAAAAAAAAAAAAAAAAAAAAATCTCTGAGGAAAAAATTGTCATCTTTGACAAAGACACAGAGGACTATTTTGAGTTTTTTTTTTATTATTATTAATTTTATTTCAATGTGATATGTTGTTTCATCATGAAATCCTTCAAAGCTGTTACTGATGTGAACAGAGAGAGAAAAAGCCGTGCAAGATGGGTCTTTGTCTGAAAACCGTTTTTAACAAAGGAAGAACAAATCCAACAAAGTCCTTTTTTAAACTCGAGCATCACGGAAACATGGAAAAAAAAAACTAAAATGTATATTTTGCTAGTCTTTAAAAACAAAACCTTTGTAATATTGTTATTAATATTGACATAATAATGATAATCTGTAAGGTATTTTACTCTGTAATTGGTTTTAAAGCAATGTTTTTATGTCTTCCTGTAAGATATTGTACATAAACGTTGGGGTGAGGGGAGGGTGGGGGGTGGAGGGTTTACTGAACCGGCTGGCATGTAATGGGTTGGTTTGGAAAGGGTTAACAGCGATTTGACTGGATGTCATCTACTACTATGTGTGGTCATCTCACTACTTTTATCAGTATGCATACGGTATATGTGTACGTTCTTTGGCCAGTCCGCTCCAGCGACTCTTCAGCACAGCGCTGCCGTCGATAGCTGTTGAGAAATAAAAATTCCAGGAGTTTGTCTGGCATATTCGTTCAGTTAAACCATAGTTTTTGTTACAAAGTCATCACTTTGTTTGGTTTGCTTCTTGAAAAAGCAACATTATAATTTCAACACCATGATGAACCAGATTTCTTGCATCTTCATGAAAACTACTTCAGATTTAAGGCGATGAACGTTGGAAGAATCACAAACAGGAGAAATCAGGGGTTCACGGGGTCGGGGGTTGACTTGACTTCCTCTTTTTTGAAAATATTATATATATTTTTTTGCGCGATTCACTTCTTAATGTTTTTTGTTTATTGTTTTCTTTTTTTAAAAATTCTTTTATGCGGTGTTCGCCGTGAAAACAAAATGAAGGACATTCTCAGAGAAGCAATTGTAGAAAACATCACAATCATGTTCTGTCCTCTTATCACTATTGAAGGTGCATGTGATTGCGTCTGAGTGTGTGTGAGTGAGTGTTTGTGCGCATACATCAAGGTGTAATATGGAACTACTTTTGGCAACGAAGGAGCATTTCGATTGCCATTTTTTTTGGTACTGAAAAAAAAAAAAAAAAGATCGCCCTGCTCCATTTTGGCTCATCTGCTCCTCTCCCCTGCCTCTCTCCCATTTCATATTTAGTTGGAATAAATTTGTGCTCCTCTGGAAGCAACATATTATTGTTTATACACAGTTGCTGCTCCGTGTAGTGGTGAACAGAGGGGGTTTGGGCAGGGAACCAGAAATGGAACAGGGTCTCGCTCCCAGCCGGCTCTGATACAGGACCTCAGTACAGACGACACTGGCTGGCAGGAAAAGTCAAAAAGCTGGAACAAATTCAACATTTGCAAAAACAAGAAGCCTGTTTGTTCAGCCTTCTTGCTGCAGCCTGTTTGATGTTCAGCACAGCAGAAAACTTCCTGATCCAGCCAGTGGTTCTTCTGTCAGACCGCCTGGGACACGACATAAAACTACTGCTGGACACCAACACTGTAACTTTTTAACTTACAATAAAGCAATAAGTTATTTTTTACCTTACAAATGAAAATAGTACTATTATTGGTAATAGCAGACGACGTGTGGATAATTCTGCGGCATTAAGACTTATTTTCAGAAAAAAAAACTATATTTTTCTGTTTTGAGATCTTGTTCCCCTTGTATATTGATTTTAATGCTGTCTTTTGTTGTGTTGATGTAAGGAAAAGGGCCAATGCTTTGGATGGAGCTTGTAGCTCTACATGAGCTGAGTTAAAGTTTAAGATTTGGGCTGTCCCCCGCCAAGCTTTACAGCAATGCTTTTCTTTTTTCCTTGTTTTATTTTTCTGATAATTTCAATTTTAAAATCCTAATAAATTATTCTAAAGCATTGGACTGTGATTGCTTTTTTTAATCATACAGTTGACCGTATACGCAGGCACACTCATGTCAAACCACTGGAGCAGCAGCAGCGTGTAATATCAGGGGCCTGGTGTGAAGCCGTTTCTCTCTTCCTTATGTAAATGAATGCAACTGAAAGCCCCACTGTGTAGGATTTGAACATTTCTAATTTTTTGGCAACTCCTAGTGGAAGAATCAAGAAAGCCACCCCTCCCCAGGCAGATTTAACCTGGAGATAAACAGCCTTCACTCCAAATGTAAAAAGCAAGGCCTTTATTTCCAATGGAGAGAGCAGCTGCTGTAAACTGAACTTAGACCTCACACACTTTGAACACAGGTACAATAGGATTCTGGCAGTGACAAGTTAATTGGACTTAAGATAATTGTGTACATCTCTGAATTCCCAGAGTTACAACTACACTCGGATCATGGCAGGACTCAGTCAGGGCAAAAAATATCAGCAAGGTTGACCTGACCCTTTGTGGCCCCTTTGCCATTTGTATTAGCTTTTATCATGGCCAATATGCCTCTGATACCTCTGCCTCTAAGACCGGGGAAGTGGCCATTATTTGACTTTACACCTGCCCTGACTTTGTCCATATCACTGGCATATACGGTAAATCTTTGAGATTCAGAAAAATGTATTGTTGTCTCTGGTTTTGTCATGAGAGATGTGTCACATCAAACCACATGTTAATCCATATGCCAGGTTTAAAGAGTGAACAGCTACAATGACATTAAACATACTCTGAATGAAGAGGGAGATGAGTTTTTTCATTTGTTTTAAACTAAACTGTGACAGCTGCAGTCAAACAAGAAGAGAGAGGTGCATGGTACAGCACAATCCTGGTGTACGGTAAATGGTGTACTGTGTTAACAACATTCTAACACGTTACACAGCACTTAACTTTCAACAGGGATCATTTCCATGTATCAGCATGTTGTGTGTTTCTATGAGGTGCCAGTAAACAGAGTCTGATCCCTCACACAGGGCAGTGTCCTGGATGGAGGCCAGCAGGGTTAGTGATCCTGTCCCTCCTCTCTCCTGCTCCTTCTATTCCCACAATCTTCATTTCTTTTTTCCAGCTTTGAAAGAGGACTACCAACATACAACATATCAGGCTTTTCAACTTCTGGTTTCTAGTTAAAAGTGAGAATTCAACTCTTCATGTTGACTATCAGGTTCTGCTTATTTGTAACTTTTAATCCTTTCTAATTTGGGTGTTTTCACCCCCTGACTGTGCTGCGAGGTACAATGGCTCTTGGAGTTCTTAATTCGCAAGTGAAAAGTTCCCTGAGTGGGAGCGTATGTTTTGACTGTGGTTCTATGGAGGAACAGGAACCGCCACCTCCACTCCGTAGCTACCTTTGTTTGACGATTTTCACCTGCTTTTGTCCTGCATACCCTGTCAACATTGTGGCCCTGGTCTTCTCTATCATGGTGAGCATGGACTGAGCATGGCATGTATGTACATATAATCGCATTTGCAGATGTACTACTACACCATTAAGATAAGAAGAAGAGAAGAGAGAAAGAAACATGTTCTCTCTGTGGGGTGTTTAATGTGTTTCAGTTACACAGCGTTCTGACATGTTGTGTTGTGAGTCAACATGTTGGACACTAAAGATGTAACCCAGTCACACACACCTGTTCTGCCTGTCAAACAAACCCACTTGGTCTTCCATGTTGGAAAATGAAATGAAAATGTTGCAACATGTGATATAAACTTTCTAACTTCTCACCAGACTGCTAATCCGTCTGCTTAGTGTTGCTTTACCAACATAAAGAATACAGTTAAACCAGGTCAGATGATCAGTATTTGACGACCTGGCATACGAAATGAGACTCAACACTCAACTGTCTTTCTCTAGAATGACTGATCTCACTTAAAATCCTCAAATGACAGGGTTTTATGTCCTATTCTCAGTCAAGGAACAGCTATTACCATGGTGACTATGATGGGTCGTGGCGGCTGGGCAGGAACGCTCTCTATGTTGCTGTTGCCTCCATCATCATCGGCCTTCTCGTCATCGCTATCACCTGCATCGTTCATTTTACCACTGTAAGACACACATCGAGGGCTGGGCGATATTCTGTGGCCATTACTATGTGGTTATCTATAAATGGCCTCTAAATTGGATGTTCAGAAAATGTACCATATCATAATACATCACTACTGTGATATAAAATTACATTAAATGGGATAGAAGATTCTATCTATACACATACTACACACCTAATCCAAGGTGTCATTTATGGTGGGTTTGAAAATCACAATGTAATGGTGAAATCAATCTGATACCTTCTACATACCTGTACATTTATTGTGAAAAAAAGACCATAATCAAAAGTATTATTTGCCTGTTCCAACTCTGTTCAAGGGATATTGTATGTTTAATTATAAAGACTCCACAATTTCCCTTTGCGGTGCAAAGCTATGGAGCACCATAGCTGTTACAAATAAAAACTTATATATACATTATATATATATATATATATATATATATATATATATATATATATATATATATATATATATATACATATGTTGAATTATAGACACTTTAATTTCATAATGCCATTTTTCAAAAATTTCATGTAACATTTTATGTCAGTGATGTTGTGAACAGTCCTTTCACCTTTCAGCCAACCAGTGCCTCTGCCTCTTGGGCAAGCTCAACAACAGCTACCAGATTAAGCCTGTTATTTTTGAATCAACTATCACTGCTGCTGTATATAATAAACACAGTCACAGTAACCAAACCTTTAGTTTTTAAGCCTTAATATGGTTGATCATCCTACCTAGCTGGCTAACAAACAAGGCCAGCGTGGACTATCACTCAGCATCAACGTGAAGAGTTTGTGTTAGCATTAATATTGTGAAAACAAGAGATGTAATAACAACTCATAATAATGAGTTGGGTACAACAATTTCTTAAATTATTTCACAAATTATTGTTTCATTTATACACAAATCTCTTTTGATATGACCCTTTATTTCGTAATGACTCATTTATTTATTTAATATTGATCACTTTGGGGTTCCATATAAAGCCAGGCAGTATAATTGCATCAAATCTGCCAGTGTGACACATGATGCAGCACAGTAATGGAAGAGACTGTGGTAGAAAACAGTATAAAATAGCATATGAAATCTGTATGATACTGTGTATTATTATACAAGACAAAATATCTAAATCATTCTGTAAAAGTAAACAGCTACATGAAATCTAAAAGATGTTCCTTAATGTGAGAGTCCTTTGTTTAATGTACCTCTGTTTGTGTTCCAGATTGATTTTTAGTGCTGTGGAAGTGGAGAGAGGGAGAGAAGAGAAATAAGACACTTGAACAGACGACCGATGTCGGATGGGCTCAGGTGGTTGGTTCATAATGTACCATCTGCCTGTAAAAAGACTCCACTCATGTTTACTTTGTCACTTCTCCTCATGTCTACTGCTCTTTATATGGACAATCAAGGACTATTACATCTGGTGAATGTGTACATTTCAGTGTTAATGTTGATCATGCTTTCAATTAAAAAGGCAGCTTTCTACAAACGTGTATAGGGAATCCATGGTTTAAAGCACACATTTGTTAAGCTGTGACCCCAATATATTTTCACTATTGTGTTTTTCTCAAAATGTTGCTAGCACTACAAAGATGATAATAATCAGTCTTTATGCATAACAATACCAAAGTCTGTTAACAAGAGGACTTGATAAATGATCTTGCAAAAACAATAATAACACTTTATTTCTTAATACTCTGATGTTCTTAAGCTTTATTAGAAATATTTAGTAATGCCTTTGATATCTTGTGTTACAACATTTATATTCATTATTATTATCATAATGTGTCTGTCATTGGTCATAATAATAAAATAATTTTTATGTACAGTGCAACTTTTTCATCTACAACAACAGAGAACATACAATATTTTGATAACTCTTCATTAATTTGTTCTATGATTCCTGTTTTACTGTAAAAGGGAACCTCAACTGATTTTACATATGAATATCAGTTTACTTGTTGCAACAAGTGCTGCTCAGGCTGTAAAAACTGTTCTATGAACTGTATAATATCATCTGTGGCCCTGAATGAAGCTTTTTAAAGTGATACTACATAACCTTTAAAAGAGGAAATGACAGATAAAAAGAATGACAATCTTAAATCCTGCTATCCTTAGATTACATCGTTTGAGACTTTAGTTGCACTGAGAAGTGTGTCAGTTATAGTTCAGCAACTGCAAGTAAAACCTGGAGGAACTCACTGTTGACCTGCATACAAACAAATATATTCCAGGTTCACGCAAGAGAAGTTTTAATCTGTAGCCCTCGAGCTGTTCTTAAAAGAATCATAACTTAACATTGAAGAATGCCAGTCAGGGGTATTCCTGCTACAGCCATACGTGGCCTGGTAAGACCAGTAGCATATGGTGGCTAATGTTAACCGATGTTGGCAACCTTTGGTAGGATATTAGTATATTAGAGTTATTTCACTTCTTTGTTATTCTTCACCACTTGTGCTACTGTTACAATGAGTTTTAGCATTTAACCTCATCCCTTAAAGGACCAGTGTGTATGATTAAGTGGCATCTAGCAGATCACAACCAACTGAATACCACTCGCCTTCCAAGTGTGTAGGAAAAACTATAGTGGTCACGGATCTTGTGAAAGACCCTGGCTGTGTTTGAACTCACATCCTAACGTACTATTCATACTAAGTATGACGTCAAATTGAGTATGTAGTGCGTTTACTGCACATACTCAACTGCCCCACAATGCATTGCGTCTCTTCTGACTGGTTAATGATTATCTGGATTGTGAATATCTGCAGTTTTACAAAGATTGATGGAGTGGTCAAACTTTTAAAATTGACAGTTACAGAAGAACCAGCGATGGTAGCTAACCAACCACAAACAATAGCCTTTGGTGCCCCTCTCTCCCCCTTTTTTTACGTTAATTTGCCTGAAAATAATACATTAAGCT